CTATTTCAAGGTTATTCTTGGAGAAAGACTAGGTCATACAAAGTCCATAGTATTCAATGAATCCGCATAGTGGGATTAATATAATTATTATGCTGGTAAAGCTTTTTAAATAATTCAATAAACCTCTTTAACTCAATAATTCCAATAAATAACTCAAACTCCTTTTTAATTAAATTCAACATGCTTTTAAAATAAAACCTTTAAAACATGATAAATAATAATTTTATTATTCAAAACATAATATAAAATCAATCCTCCAATTTATTTATCAAAACCACTTATTTAAACATACTTTTATTTAATAAGTCATAATTCAATTCAATTTAATTCAATCATCATAAAAAAAATCATGTAAAACATGCTCATTCAATCCAATCAATTTCAAAGGTATCTTGCCACCTAAACGTACCTTTGGTCCTTGCTTAGTACACACAAAGAAACTTCAAGAACTTGGATCAAACACACCCTATAAATAAATATAACCTTAATTAATATAAAGTTAACAAATAATCACCGCAATTAAATTAAAAACCCCCAACTATATGTACATGAACCTTATAAATTATTTTTCATAAACACGAATAAAAATCTGATTTTATTAAATTAAAACTTCTTATAATAAATTTTATAAATCCTCCATAATAATAATAATTAATTAAATAAGAGAAGAGAAGAAGAAGAGGTAGAAAACCAAGGAAAAGAGGAGAAGAGAGGTGGCGGCAGCTGGCGGCTATCGGGGTTGTGGTCGACGGTGGTGGTCGTGGTTGATTGGTGGTGGTGGTGGCGCAAGAACAAGAAAAAGAAGAGAAAAAGAGAAGAGAAAATTAAAGAGAGATTAAGAGAGAATTAGAGAATTTGGTGTGAGTGTTTAGCCATGAATCAATGGGTATTTATAGGCTACCTCATGCAAGAATTATGGTAAAAAGAATTAAGGAATTACTTGGGGAAGAGAATTAAGGAATTATGAAAAGTTTTAATATTAAGGTGACTAAGAATAATTAATTAAAGGAAAGTGTGTTGTCATGAAAAAATAATATGGCAAAAGAGGTTTACTTGAGGATTAATCAAGGATGAAATAAGGTAGGGAAATAAGATGATCAAATATTTAGGAGATGGGAAATAAAAATTAAGGAAAATAATAACTTTTGAGGAAGATAATTAAAAATACAAATTAACAAAATAATTCCCCCCAAGAATCAACCAAGATGGCCGTATATTTTGAGCTTCCCATAGCTCAAATTTTCAGACCTCGTTAGTATATTTTAGGAAGTTATTTGCTAGATTTAAGGATTAAAAATAATTGTGTAAATAATATATATTGTATAAAATAATTAATTAAGAGAATACCAATTATTCACTAAATAAATTAACTAAGAAAATCAGATTTTCCACACTAGGAAAATCCAAAATTAATAGCCAATTAATGGGAATTTTCGGACCTCCTAATTTAAATAATAAAACATAATTTTTTCTTAATTAAAATATCCGAAATATATATAAATAATCCGGTTTTTAAAATAAAATAAATGGATAATAATTCTTATCCAAAATCCAAACAAATAATTAAGTTTTAAAATAATTTTGGTGCCAAAATTCAATTAGTAAAATAAATTACTAATATACCCTTTTTAAAAATAATAACTAATTAATTAATTAGAAAATATGTTTCAAAAATACGGGGTATTACAGTCAATCTGCACATCCCTACTCTGCATCTGCTTCTGTATAATGGCTAACATAGTTTTGATTTCCGATAGGGTAGGATTAGTAGATGGAGGTGGAGTTTGTTGTTGGGTTCTCTGGTTAGGGTGTTGGTAATATTTATGTTGTGGTTGCTGTGGGGCTTATCGTTGTGGTTGTTGTGGAGGTGGAGGATTTAGCACATTGCTACTCCGGTAGGAAAGGTTTGGGTGGTTTCAGAGACCAGGATTATAAGTGTTGGAGTATGGGTTATTCTGCCTATAGGCTTGGAAAGCATTAACTTGCTCCATGGGACTCCTACAATCTTGTGCCCAATTTCCTACAATTCCCATTTTGCACAAAAAGCATTTGTATTAATATTATTAACAGCGGAAACATTAGCTATGGAACATGGAATAGCAGTACTAAGACTATCTAATTTCTGACATATAGAAGCTAATTGTGCTTGTACAAAGGATACAAAGTCAACATGATGTTTCCCTTTGTTTGCAAAACCTCTAAGATTTCCCGTATTGGGAATTATGAATTTCCATCGCTTCAATAACAGTGCCTGCTACATCCTCTTGAAGATTCGTAAATCTTACGTTTGCTGCAGAGTCTAGGATTGATCTTGAAGGATTTCCAAGCTCGTTGTAAAAAGCTTGGATCAACTGCCACTGTAAAATCCCATGATAGGGGCATTCTCTCTGCATATCCTTAAATATTTCCCAAGCCTCATATAAAGACTCATCAACTTCTTGGGCAAAATTTAGGATTGAGCTTCGTAACAAAGCAGTCTTCTCTCCAGGATAATACTTATTGTAAAAAGGTAAAGTAAGATAATTCCAGTCAGTAATACCAAGTGCAGTTTTATTCAATCCATTATACCACAATTTAGCTTTACCACATAAAGAAAAGGGAAAAAGAATCTCCCTGATTTGATCTTATGTGATCCCACCTTGTTTGATGGTATTGCAATATTGACAAAAATCCAAAATATGAAGATTAGGATCTTCATTCTTAGCTCCACCAAATTGCTTCCTTTCGATCATAGTAATAAACTGGGGTTTGATCTCAAATTGTACTCCCTCGAGATCCAGTGGAGGAGCAAGGTGTGGAAGATTTGTAAAGGAAGGCTACGAATAATCGTTGAGCTTGCGAGGTGGTTGAGCAGCCATCGCTAAAGTCGTATCACTTAATCTAAAGTAATTCCTAAAACCACTAACTAAAATAGATAGGGAAGTAGGGTCGAATCCATAGGGAAACAACATTCTTCTATTCCTAATTAATTATTATAATCTAAATTATCAAGAAACAAATAAGTTTTGTATGAATTAATCTAAGGGAATGGTCAATAATAAAAAGCCTAGGGTCACAAGTTCACCAACAATTAATACTCCGGGATAAAACATAACAATCAACAATTGATATTGTAAATAACATGATTAACAGGCTCTCGCTATTTATTAACCAACATAGATCTAACAGGCTCTCACAATTTACTAGACCTAAGTTTCTATTGAAAATAGCCTTTAATATCAAATTAACATCTGCTCGATTCATCAATTCAATATTCTTATACATGCACAATCAAATCACATCTGCTCGATTCATAATCCAATTGCAAAGAATTAAAACAATTCAATAAGGATTATCATGCAATATCAATAGTCAACCAAAATAAATTATCCCTTCATATTAATTATGGATCCCCCAAGAACCCTAGAATTAAACTAATAACACATATTTAAATCTAAACTAATCAAAGCAATTAAAGAAGACATGATTGAAATCAAAGGAAAAATAAACAAAGCAATTAAAATCAAAGCGATAAATAAAGCAATAAAAGAGGCGAGAAATAATACCGAATGAAGGAAATATGATATTGCACTAAAAAAGGGAAAACTTGAGTTCAACAATAATCTCTCACTAAAACCTCTCTAAAACTTAAGAATGAAATTTGCAATCTAAAAAGCGTAGTTAATAAAAGCTTACAAAAGAGTTTAAATACTAAACCCCAAATTACCAAAAACGACAAGTCTTAAAACGCTTAGGAAAAACACGCGCCTGATCGGGCCCGCCTTTTTCTTCTAACCGCTTTGCTGAGCATCCGCCCGATCGGGCGGCCTTTTCTTGGTCGAGTTCCTCTTTTGGGCTTCAAATACTTGTGGCCCAATTTCTTCTCCCTTGGTCCATTACTTGGACCAATTCCACGAACCAAGCCCTTAGTCACCGAAATCCTCAGTCTTGGGCTACAAAAGATAGTCATGAATGTGATCATAGGCTCTGATATCTCATAGTGACCGAAAAACCATAGAAATCCCCAAAAATCCGGAATTTCCTACAAAATAAATGCCAACTCTACAATACACTCGAAACCACACATTAGTAATAAAAATAGCTCCGTGGAGCTCAAATATGCATAAAAATGACTGTGGGACGAGGGATAAAATAGCATACAAAATACACATATCACCCATAATACTTGGGACGTTGGGGTGGACACGTAGTTTAAGAAAACTACAAATGGATCCATTTAAAACATTTGTTTACTATATAAATGATTCTCTTTTGTATTTTTACGTTGTAAGAAAATAAAAAGTGGGGGAGGTGGGAGTAGTGAGGAGAGAAAAAATGTAGGATTTACTTGGGTTTCGGGGTTTGTGGCCCAAAGACAGTATGGGAAAATAGTTTTTTTATTAGTAGTCTTATTCCATATTTAATAACGTGTCAAGTATTTTGGGACGGACGAAAATGGTAATTGTGTTAAGTATTATGGGACAGAGGGAGTACTTCAATAGACAAGTTAAGCGTGTCAGATTTAGGTTAATGGGTTGACGTTAAACCCATTACTATAATTGGGTTATGCGTGTCGGTTTCGGGTTGAAATTTTCAACCCAAACCTAACCCGTTTAATTTCGTGTAGGGTTCGTGTCGACCCAATTACTTAATCATGTCGGGTTCGTGTCGACCCAATTACTCAATTGGGTCGAGAATTCTAGACCCAAATTTCGTGTCGGGTTCGTGTCGTGTCGGCTTTTGACAGCCCTAATTAGAAGACAATCTCATTCTAAGCTGCATATGAATGATAGAGCACTAGGATAGGATGACTTTCATTGATAGTCATATGCAGATGACAATATAAGATGATGTTCACAAATCATAAGCATGCATATTTATTAGGTCTTAATGATGAGACATTGGTTGACACAGATTTTAGTCACTTAATACCATTAACCATGGTACTCAATGTAAGGACTCGGGAACTTGTATACTGCAATGCTGATGGTGGTTCTGATATCCACTACACAACTACTTTGTTGTTTGGCGACAGGCCTAACACCACCACAATTTTATAAAAACCCATGAAGCATAAATTAATGAAATTTTATGTGAACATCAAATATACAACAGTAAATTGCATCACAATTGTTGGAACATAGAAAGATCTCTGTTTATGGTCCTACCGATCCTAAAATGGGACAAATCACATCTAGCGCAGAGTGTGACATAGTTTCTCAACTGAACTGGCACAGAAACATGCGCATCACTTCCAGCGAGCACCCCCTAATCTAATAACCTCTTCAGCACCACTATCCTTGGTGTACCCTCTTTCCATGCTTGCATCACCTTTCTGGTTACCTAAATCACCATAAAGGTCCTTGAGCTTGGCGAGATTGCTTGATGCTGACGTTCTCTCTTTTTCTTTGCTTTTATCACTGTTAGTGCTTGAATAATGATCAAAACGCTCTGTACGAACAGGAGATGGAGACCTCCGGCTTTTGCTCCTACTTCTACTCCTGCTCCTTCGAGAGTGGTAATCATCATAATCGTCTCTATCCCTTCTGCTGCCATCTCTTTCAGAATACCTGCTTCTATCATAACCACGCCTGCGGTCTCTCTCTCTGTCATAATCTCTTTCTCTATCATGGCTTCTTTCTCTGTCCCTATCACGGTCCCAGAAGTCTCTGTCCCGGTAGCGATCTCGGTCCCGATCTCGATCCTGGTCACGGCTCCTCCCTTTCCCCACATCCCTGTCAAAATACTCTCTGTCAGACAAATCACGGCTCTGACTACGATGCCTGCTAGGAGACCTCCGGGGATCATCGCTACCACCTCGATCATAAGGAGGTGGGGGTACAGCACGGCGAACAGGAGAAGAGTCTCGAGTTGATGCCCGATGTGGAGCACGTTGTCCAAAAGAAACAGAAAGAGCTGCCTTAACAGAAGGAGGACGACGTGCAGTATCCTCAGATCCAAGCCGACTATTCTCTCCAATTGAACCTGATGACTTCGTCGGGAGCTTCATCTTTTCAAGGTGGGAGACAACTTGCCGCACTACAGTTACAGGGATACGAGGGAAAAGGGTGTCAAAGTAATACTGCAATAACACGCAGAAAGTGAGTTCAGTTCCATAGTCAGATTATAGAGAAATACCCACTGAGCTAAAGCATGTAGACATACTGTAATGTATCACTGTATCATCAACTTCTCAATGGAAACTGGTTTTTTATCCCCTTTTGACAATGTCATTTCTTCTGTTTTAAGTTCGCATGAATCAAGTACTTAAGGCCATTAGAATCTAGCAAATTATATCCCCCTAGTATTAAAGAGAAGCATATGAGCAGCAAGATCAAACAAATAAATAAGACATTTGCCTACTTATCATCATCATTGTACTGCAGTGTGAATTCAACATAGCCAATGCTGAACACTAAACAGGGGAGAAAAAGCCATACAACTGTTCTCCCTAGGGTTACAAGACTTACAAGTTACAACTCATTCACCAAATAACACCGCTACTGACTAGATCAGGTTGTATTAACTCTTAACTAAGATTAAAAACTAATTTCAACCAATAAATGGCTATTAAAATACAAACAGTCAAATACAGAAACATCTTCAGCTTGACATAAATACCAAGTCATCAATCTTTGACAAACTACGCATCATAGTTAGAATACGCACATCCGACATTAGTTGAAGCCTCAGCATAGTTGTAAGAAATAGCCACAAAAATGACAGATAAGAATAGTAACAAGGATAGCAACTAACAGTCAACCTAGTCCTTAATTAATAATTTGTCCCTCCTTCATAAACCTTCCATTTCACAAAATGTCCTAATTGACTTTTCACAGCTATTTTGTGGAAAAGAGCCAATCAGAATCACTTTAATAAAAATATGCATTAGGTATATATAGAAGATTAATGATTAGAGCAACCAATTTGAAACATGCCAAAATAAAAATTAAAAAAAAAAATAAAAAAAAAATAAGCGGATAATCCATGGAGCATCATATGGACATGACAGTCTCCATGAACATCAGGATGAACTCTTTGAAAGAATGTCCAACTACCAGCAAGACACTTGATTATACATAATTACCCTTAGCAACTGCAATTAAACAGGCCTTCACTCATCTCACCTCTTTTAAAAGTAGAAACAAGTGATTAACTCCCTTCATCTTCCTCCACATTTTCACCAACTCCTTCCAATCTTCCCACCTTGTCTCTTTGACTGCCTCATTTGTTAAATTATCAAGTTCAGTAATTAATAACATCCCCCTCCCTCTGTATCATGTGCTCTTCCTATGAGGCCCTCATTAATATCCTCATCCAGGTTTCCCCTTTTTAATAACATCCCCCTCCCTCTTTATCAGCACGTCTCTTAGTAATGTCTTTATAGTCTAAAAGAGGAAATCGAACACATTACTCACACTAGGAGGCCATCACATTCATGTTTGACGTTCATTATAATATTCTCAGCAATTTGTGTCAGACTGTCAGTCTTTAAAAAAGCAACTTGTAATCAGTCATAGCAAACCTTTCATACCTTGTTTAACAAGGACATGTCAGAAGTATCCCGACACGGGGAAAAAATTCTTTAAAAATCATTTCAGTTAGCAGTAAAGAGTAAAATCAATTCAAGTGATAATCGTTGTGTTTTTTTTTAAAAAAAAAAAAAGACTAATCGACATAATTAAAAAAAAAGGGGAAATTCTCAATGGTAACCTCCAACTTGTAACACTGAAATGGTAACCCTCTTTTTTTTTTTAATTATACAAAATGACCTTAATTAAGAATTTATTCCCACAAATAATCTTATTTTAATAAATGGTTAGTTAAAATTAACTATGGTTAGAAACCACCAGTCCAACCCTAATCCAAACCCAGACCACTGCACGCCCAAAACCCTTTGACCTTGACCACCTAGCGTCCAGAACCCTCCGACCTTGACCACGGCGCGCCCATAACCCCCCAACCACGATTACCGCACGCCTAGAACACTATGACCCTGAACACCATGACTCCACCCTCCCTCTCTTTCTCCTCTACCCTTTCCTCTGCCTTGATTCAAACCCCAAACCCGACCTCTCCTTCTCTGACCTTTCCTTCTCCGACAACCCCTCCACAGCGAAAACCCTAGCGTGGTCGTGGGTCGAAGGGAGAAAAAGGGAGGGTTGTGGGTCTGGTGGGGATGTCGGGTTGGGATGAGGGACTGGTGGCGGCGACTGGGTGAGGTGGAGGCGTAGGTGGTGGCGGTGGCTAGGAGAGGGTGACGGTGAGGGTGGCTGGGTAGTTTTTTTTTTTTTCTATTTAGTTTTTCCTTTTAAAAAAAAACAAAACAAAAAAAAATAAAAATAAAAATAAAACAAAACACCACCCTAACCATGGTTTAATTTTAACCAAATAAGACTCATTAATTTCATAACTAGGATAAATTTCTTAATTAGGGTCATTTTGTATAATAATAATAAAATAAAAATAAAATAAAATAAAAAAATAAAAAAGTAAAAAAAAGGTTTACCATTTCAGTGTTACATTACAACTTTAAATGGGTCAGCTTCTAAAAAAACCCAAATAGTCATTCGCATTAGATTGAAGAGTAAAATGGTGGTAATAGACAAGTAAATGAATGTTGACAATCATTCTTTATTAGATTTTAATAAAAAAGTAATGCCATGGAACGGGGCACTGAGAGCAAAATTTATGGTTTACACGTCAAAAAAAAAAAAAAAAAAAAAAAAAAAAAAAAAAAAAAAAACCTTACATCACCAATTCAAAGAAGTAATAAGCAAATAACAAAAATTCATTCAAACATCTAGCGTAGGTTAGACACACTTTTTATAGAAATTAAAAGCAAAAGTAGACAAAAGGACGAACTACAGAGATATACATACAGAGGAGCCCTGGAACGTCGCTAGATAGCTTAGGCTCTGAAGAATTACTCCAAACAATGCATTCCTAATAGAAACATTGACTAAAGCTAACAAGGCATTATCTAAGCACACATCTAAGGGAAGCATGTGGTCTCTCAAAGCATAGCAAAGGAAACATCCACCTTGTTACTTAAAATGGTGGTTTACAAATGAATGATATGACACTGAAGTTCATTACCTGTCCAAGAAGTAAGTCCCGCACATACACACCCATAGTGGTCATCTTTCCACTAGAACCTGGCGAAAACTCCTGCAAAAGAACCAAACTGAATTCAAAAATTGATTAAAAGGAAAGAACTAGGGAGTAGAGGATGATAAAGGCAGCAAAAAAGAAAACCAAAAAATAATGAGATCTCTATGATCTCCGCTCCTCTTGTTTAACGTAACCAAGAAGCAGACACAATACATATAAAGAAACACACAGGGAGAAAGAGGGAGGTGTTTATATTTGAGCACATGACAAAACCTTATCATTCTTGGGATGAATGCACCCAACCACTTCACTGTTGATGAAGCTGCAACTGTCAAATCTTTGAAATAAAATCAGTACCAAAGAAATGTTTCTATTCACCTTCAAGAAAAAGGCTGTGAAGTTGATAGAAGCATTTAGACTTAAATCAGAGTGCAAACCCATTTACTGTCTGCTTGTCATTCATGGCACATGGACAACTTTAAATTATAATGACCAATTTCATGCAAATCTCATGGTCAAACATATATGATAGTCAAATTAAAATTTTCCTTTAAATAGTAAACTACTCATTAACGGCGAGGGACCCAAAAATTATACCAAATGACAGCTGCTACCTGAAGTGATGGCCACTATGCAAGGATTTTGAGCTTCTTGTTACACAATATATGGCTACAATATATGAACACTTGAAAAAAAAACAACATCAAATACAAAACTATACTACAATATTGGCTATCACTCCTATAGTTACCAACTATTTACATATGGTGTGGTTCTGAGCCAAAAGTGAAAAAGAATACAGCAATATGAGCTCAAGACACTTAATGGTATTAGATAATTCTCATGAAGATGAGAGACTTTGAATTTAGAGAATCAGAGGAAGATGAAGGTGTTGGTGGAGTTGAATAGGAGAGAGATGAAACAAAGGACAAGGCCAACATTAAGACTGACAACTGCCAAAGCCTTATATTGCATCCCCTTGTCACCATATTCCTTTAATTCATCAATCTTTTGTTAAAATTAACCTCTTTGCAATTGTGTAAACATTGAGCCACTGCACTAAAGTTGTGGAAATTCTAAAATCTACAAGCAAACAAATCACAATACCAAGAGAAGAGGCTCATATACTATGAACCTCAAGCCTTCAAAATTCTCATAGAACAAGTCAAAAAAAAAAATCATAGATCTAAAGCTCAACAGCAACCATTGGTTTCTAAGGACGATGAACACAAGATGAGAACCAAAACAATACCAAAATCATCCAAAACCGCATGACACTGCCTAACAACTGAAGCATCCACCATGGCACAATGAAAAATTAACACTTCAATACTTCATCATGAGAACCATAAGTAATTCCAATACAAAACCCAAAGTAAAATGATCCAGGGAGGAATATTAATTCACCAAGCACTAAAATCACTTAATCAATGTAACAAGACTTAAGAGTGAATTTGTGGTGTGGCTAGGCCCCTGAAGGAACTTCGTTGTATTACTCATTGACTCCATTTTGAGCAGGCTGGCAGTGAAGGATTAAGGTGTCAAAATTGTATGGCATTGCTCATTATGGTAAATGCCCAAAACCTTTGTTACTCGAACAAGAGTATGAGTGACGTGTGTGGGTAAATAAACAAGTGTCACACATTTCACGGCTGGGAATTTCAGACACAAGGACATTTTCCTAAAATTGGACACAGGTGCAGGACTGCAGGTACACTACATTACTGGAACATTAACCTGCTTTAGAAGTTTTTTTGCATAAACTCCCAACATACAGATAGACATAAACATTTCACATTAGCTTGACGGTTAATTCCTGTTGAAAACTTATCTCAAACCCATCTGTGAGCACATAACCCAGAAACCCACACACTCTTCCTTTCCTACCTTCTCTTTCTCATTTTCTTCTACAGTTACGTGAATCAAGAAAATTGAAGTACATGGGTAACCATTGAAGTGTCGGGTAAGGATTTCACACCATTGTCAGAGTGTCGTGTCCAACATGGGTATGAAAGACAAAATGAATAGTCGAAGTACCATAACCCACAACCCTTCCTCCTCCCAAAAGAGGGAAAAGCAGGACCTCACCCAAGCTAAGTTCTCTCATAGTATACGAGAAGAAAACCATGAAACTAAAGGAGGCTATAATTGGGGGAAATTAAGAACCCCCACCCCCCCTCCCGCCAAATTACAATTTTTTTTTGGTTTTTTTCACAATAGCATTAAAAACCCACAAAATAACTCCACTTCTTTGGTTGTTAAGTGCTAGATGATAAGATTTCTAAAAAAAGAAAATGTTATTTCAAGATTTTTATTAAATAAAGAAATTAAGAAATTTTATGGACTAGACAACATAAATATAGAAATCAAGCATTTTCTTAGTAAATAAATATTAGCTGCTATAGTCTAGCGCATGAAGTCAAAAGTTGCACAAAAGAAAAGGTATTCGCCATATACTCAAGTAAAAAAAAAAAAAAAAAAAAAAAAAAAAAAAAAAAAAAAAAAAAAACTGAAACAAGAAAAAGTGAGGAAGCAGGAATTAAATGAGTCAGAAGATAAATACCTCATCATCTTGAATATATGGTTCAAACCAGGTCCACAATGTTTTTGGGTCTGCTGCATACCTAAGGTATAAGAATCCAACCTGTAAGACAAAGTTCACCATAAATCACAGTATATCAGACAATGACATCTTGAGGCAGATGCAAAATACCATGATCAGAAACTAACAAATGGGGATGCCCAATTCAATGCCAAAAACTAATTGCCAGAGCATAGAAGTGAAAAACAAGATATGAGTAACATTCCTTGAGTTTTCTATAATAGTTAAATCTTCAATTTTCAAGTTACAAGAACTACACTTCCAACAGTTCTACTAGCTAGGAGATAAATAAGAAAATGTTTAATAGGTCTTAGCAAATACATCGTCTCATTTTAATCTCAGCCCTTCATCAAACTACATGAAGGTAGAAACATTTAGAGCGCAGCTAACAGTAGTTGAGCATGCTTTCCATGCTATAGAGTGCAGATGATAGTACTCCTTTTGTCCCACAAAAATTGCCTCATTTTCCTATTTGGGATGTCCTAAAAGATTGTCTCGTTTCAAGTTAGTTTTTATAATAATTAATAAAGGCTATCATAGTTCAATTTACAACTACAATAAGTTCAAATTAGGTATAAAATGTTCAATTTCCGATACATTCAAGTTCGGATAAGTCCAAGTAAGTTCATTTAAGTTCATAAAGTGAAATTTAGGTGAAAAGAACGCACCCTTAGTTAGCATGGTCCCCACAATTTTATTTACTACCCTGCATAATAATGCTAAACAGCATATTTATCTACCCACACAATGACACAATAGAACTCTAAACAAAGTAAAAACTGGGGATGGGAAAAACTAAACAGAACAGAGGAGTGATTGAGTATACTTCTCACCCTTGAGTAAGAAAAGGAAGTGGGCTCCCTAATTACCTTAGTACCTTTGAGCAGGCACTTTACACATTAACATAAATACAATATTCCTGCAAATAATGAAATCTAATTTTCCTGGCTACACCATCTAAAATCCAATTTCCAAATTGAAATTTTGAAAAAATAAAATTGCAATAAACAACTAATAGCACGAAGCATAGATTCTGAATAGTGACAGAACAAGCAGAATACTCACAGCTCTAATGTAAGGAGAATCTGGATGCTTCAATAGCCCATGCATTTGCTTGGCAGTTAGCTTCATGGTAAAAAACTTGTACAACAGACAAAAAGCCGTAGAAGGTCCCCGGCAGTTTCCAGTCATCCACGGCTCCACATGATCAACTTGATTGTATATCTCATCAATCACCTCATGGTATGTCTTCAAACGATAAAGGTCACGGAAATAATCCGAAGAAAGAATGTTCATACACAGGACCTTCTCCAAGAGAGAATCAATTGGTTTTCCAGATAATTGTATATCCCCCATGGATTACTTATATATATAAATCAATTGCCTTTTCCAAATGAACTATCGCGGCAAAATAAATACCCAAGAAAAGTTTTCAGCAAGTTCCCATTCCTGAAACAAGCAGAACATTTGCAAAAATGTGTAAGCTTACAAGAAAGACACCAAATTTCACAAAAAAATTAGCTTCAGTTCACCAATTTAGATTAGCTGGTAAAAATTAAACCAGGCCCGTCCAGGAACCAGGGCAGAAGGGGCAGCCGCCATCGGCCAAAGGAGAAAAGGGTCAATTTTATACTTCCATCATAACATTGAAGGACTATAATCAAAATCTTGCAACAAAAACAACCAAATTTGACTCATTAGGCTCTAAATATCACAAAAAATTCTTCTTGCTTAAGGATATCAACAAAATCACTCGTTAAAATCATTCACAACTTCATTAATTATAAATATAACAGATAATAGTTCAACAATCCACCTTAGAAGAACCCTAAACTGGCTATATTGAAGATTAAATCAGCGATAAACCCTAGATTGTGAAATTGATATTCGATCGATTAATTAAAACAAAGAAAACAACCTTACCTCGGGAAATGCTTCGATGGAGGAGAGTAAGCTTAGAAGCTGCTTCAATGAAAGACTCGAAATACGCTTCAATGGAAACTGGGGAGATAGAAAGGGAGGTGCAGCATAAAAGCGAAGCGGAGAGCTACAAAGGGCCAAAACTAAACCAAAAAAAACGAAAAATAAAAAATAAAAAACGTAGGAGGAAAATAATGGCACGCATAAAATGTCAACAGTCAGATTTTTTTTTTTTTTTTTCTTTTTTGACAAAGATGCTCTTCATATAACGAAACAGGAAGGAAAAAAAAAAAAAAGAGTACAATCTGAGAGCAAAGTGAAGCAAGAAAACACGAAATAATAGAGGAAACTAAAAAGACAAGAAACCAAAACAAATAACAATCAATACGACCAGAAAAGAAAACGGCGTTGACGAGCACAAACAGCCAACCAGTGAGCTGGAGCAACCCATAGACGAGGAACCTTATGAATCCAGCAAGAATCAAATTATAACAGATACCTCTGATAGCCCCAAACAACCAAAAACAAGAAATATCATCCGAACACGAACGGCATAACATGGAAACCAAAATTGTGATATCCATATAGAGTAGAGGACTCAAAAAACTTTTTCGTCTAGTAGCCTAAAGAGCCCATAAGCAAGTTTGTAATTCCGATTGTAAGGCTGACGAAGTCCGACAGGCTCGAGCACACCCACCCAAAACAGTAGGGGAAAGCTCTTCTCAGAAAATCAAACTTGCTGCCGCAATCTAATCACGACTGTTCCAAGCACCATCAAAGACTATACGACAATCTGCAATATCGGAATATGAGCCATGTAAACACTGCACCCAGATGTAACAAGACGAGGACACGGAAATTGATGTCGTTAAAAGGATGAAACAGAGATCGAAAGCGTAGCAATCCCTGAACTACGCGATACCCATTCTGCAGAAATATGAAAAACTGAAGCAGGAGACCAGACTGCCTGTCGAAGAACAATTTGATTACGAGTAAGCCCAATAGCCCACAAAAGAGATACTAAAATGGCTAGACTATGCCAATTTCGAGACTTTCCATAACCAGAAATCAGCTTTGTGAACCAGTGAGTAAATGAGTGTACACTTACAGAAATACTCTGGAGTCCCAAGGGACCAGTGGTCAAGAGATGAGAAACAAACGAACAATCCCGAAATAAATGCAAAGTCGTTTCTAAGTGATCATGACAAAGAACACAAGCAGGGTTGACAGGAAGCCCCTGGGATTGCAAAGTAGCAAAAAGAGGTAAAGCATCATGAAGCAATTTCCAGCAAAACATTCTCAATTTGGACATAATCGACATTCCCTAAAAGCATTTCCACCATGAAGACGAAACCGAATCACTAGCCATTAACACCATGGATTGGCGAATCAGCAATGCATAAAACGTTTTAGTTGGAAACTGACCATCACATGTAAATTTCCAATAAACAAAATCATCCATTGGTTTTTGAGGGCGGTCAGTAGTCAAAATACGCGAAGCCGTAATATTGTCAAAACACCGATAGACCTTAGAAGTATCCCACGCGTATGAACTCGGATCAATAATAGAAGAAACATGAGTCGGAAAATTCGACTCACCTAGACCAGATTTAAAGGAAACAGGCCCCCTAGGGGCCCAAACATCCTCGAGGAGACGAACCTGAATCCTCGAACCTATTTTCCACACAATCCCTTGAGCCAGAGTAGACATACCAGCCAGAAGACCTTGACAGCCGCCCCACGAAGACTGTGAAACCCGACTAGGCTGGAAAGATTGAAGGGAGGAATACTTTGCCGATAACACACGCAAAACCAGGAGCTGAGGATGCTGATATATACACCAAGTCTACTTGGTAAGCAGGACAGAATTAAAGCTCTATAAACTACGAAGCCCTACTCCGCCCTAGCCCTTTGGAAGATGAAGCAAAGAAGAAGAGTGAAGGGCCATCACCTAAGACAAAGATGAGGAACGCCACCAAAAACGAGCAAGCATTCGATCAACATGTTGACAGATCGAGGAGGGGATCTGAAACACAAACAAGATATGGTTGAACGAAGCAACAAGAACTTAATTGATAATCACCAACTTAGCTACAGAAGAAAGCCGAAGAGAAGCGAAACCAGGAAGACGCTTATCCACCAGGAAACGAAACTCCAAAACCTTACTCCTCCCCAAATCAACCGGAAATCCCAAATAAGAATCTAAAGAATCCTTACATTAAAGCCTCAAACTACGAGCCAAATAATCCCAATAATCTGAAGAAGTGTTCTGACTGAATTTAACAAAGGACTTCTGCAGATTGACCAACTGACCAGACATACCACAAAAATCCAAAAGAAGGCCCATCAGATTACTACAAGAAGATGGAGACACTTGGAAGAATAACATGGAATCGTTTGCAAAGAACATATGTGAAATAGAAGGCGCTCCTTGCGAAATACAAATGCCTTTGAGTAATGATTGCTCCTCCGCACTGCGTAACATGGAAGAAAGAACTTCCATATAGACAACAAACAAGTACGAAGAAAGCAAATCAATTTGGCGAAGACTACACTGTGAAAGAAAGGTGGAAGACGAATTCCCATTTACCAACACCTGATAAGAGACTGTAGAGATGCACTAGTGTATTAAAAGACTGTAGAGACCTGATAAGAGACTGTAAAAATGTACTAGTGTATTAAAAGACCATTAAGACATGAAGTAAAAAATCCTAGCGAACCCAATCATAGGCCTTATTCATGTCCAATTTCAAAGCAACATAAAACCGTTTCCTAGCCCTTGAAGCATTCACGAACGGGAGAAGTTCATGGGCATGAAATTGTAGCATTGTCTGACATTAGACGTCCTAGAACAAAAGCATTCTGCTAATCAGAAACCAGAGAAGGTAAGACAAGACAGAGCCGACTAGTAATACATTTGGCGATGCACTTGTAAAGAACATTATAAAGACTAATAGGACAAAACCGCATGGATTGTCAACCTTGGGTAGCAGAGTTAAGAAAGTACAATTCCACTCCTTCTACAAATAGCCATGAGTAAAAAAAAAATACTAAACTGCTCCAACCACAAAAGAACCGACCAACTACCAATGAATCTTGAAAAAAGCCGAAGAAAAATCATCCGGTCCTGGAGTCTTATTATCATCAATACTAAACATGGCCTCCTGAATTTCCAAAGCTGAAAAGGGAATTAACAACTCCTTTTGCCATTTTGAGGAAAGAGAAGGTAGATGAATTAGATCCCACCAAGAAGAGTCTGTCACCAGAGAGGACCTCTGGATAGTATACAAATCCTTGTAGAACAAAAGCACCACTGACTTAATACCCATAAGATCTGTTACCCAAGAACCATCTAAGGACTTCAAACTGTGAATCTTATTATGATGGCGCCAAGACTGAACCAAAGAGAAAAGGAGATGAGAATGACTCTCTCCATTTGCATCCCAATTAACCTTCGCACGTTGGCATCAAAACGTAAAAGCAGCCTGAGCCTCTACAACCTTTTCCTCCTTCGTAGTGAGAATAAGACATCGGCCAACTCGAGTATGCAAACTAGATGAAGCCTGACTAGTAGACAAAGCTAGATTCTTCCAATCAATGCCTACAATTGTTTATGAAAGTTGCACCAAACTAACAGACGTTATTTAATGAGAGATAACTTCTGAGACAGAGAAAACATTGGAGAACCAACGACGACCATTAAAACTACAAAGGTAACTATAGAGTGTACGTCCTTTGCCGATAAATACTAATTTTCTATCCTATAAGGTCGATGAACTCTATTATCCTCAGTTGTGTCAGATAGAATAATAGAAGCATGATCCGAGAACATAATAGGATGGTGAATTAGCTATATCCGGATACTCCTGAAACCAAGAAGGAGTCGCATAAGCCTTATCCAGGCGCTCAAAAGTTGAGTAAAAATCATAACGATCGATTATTTGTCCAAGTAAACCCTGGCCCTGAAAACGGAACTTCCAATAAACCTGACAATAAGCGCCAGGGACGTTTCCCCAAACTAAGCCATATTTGCAAAGTATTTTGCAAAATGGATGCGTGGCAAAATCTATTTACCAAACTAAGCTTCTAGGATAAAACGCTGTCTCGGACAGCATTTTATACCCTGGATTTAAAAAAAAAAATCAAAGTATAAAACGCTGTTTGAGACAGCGTTTTACATGTTCACTTTTTTTTTAAAAAAAAAAATTTCGTAATTTTTAAATTTATAAAAAAAAAATACTGATTTTAAAAAAAAAAAAACTAAAAAAAAAACTAAACCTAAAAACGCTGACTCAGTCAGCGTTTTTAGGATATTTTTTTTTTTTAATTGTTAATTGTAAAAGTCAGCGTTTTTAGGATAATTTTTTTTTAATTGTTAATTGTAAAAAAAAGCTTTAATTAACAGCCAACAATGGTGGCAACCATCACCAACTTTCATCCCTTGTCTCTCTTCTCTGAAACTGATCTTTGTTTCAATCCCACTAAACCCAATTTCACAAGAAGCTCATTCATTACTTCCCCACATTCATTTCCTGCAATTACCAGCCATGCTCACCATTAGAATACTCCTCCTTTTTCTTCTTCTTCTAAACCCAAACTTAAAAAGACAGGTCAATTTCAGATATTTAAGTTCCGTTTTCCTTAATTTTTAACAATTTAATCTCAATTAAAGAAGTGGGCATTTCTTCTTTTTATTTATTTTATTGGTTGTTTTCAGGTGTTCTTGATTCTCCAATGAAAACCCAGAAGCCGAATTTGCAGGTTTCACCCCATAGAGCTGGTATATTAATTTATTAATCTAATTCATCATTCAAACAAGTCTATGGAAAATATTTGGTTGATCCTGTTCGTGGGAATTCAGCTTATTGTCTATTTAGAAATTGTCTGAGGTTGTTTTACTGGAATCACATTTAGAGGTTTAGTTCTTTGGATTCTTTGCTTGGGGAAAAATTAATAATTTAAATATTAATTCTGATTTTAAAGAGAGAAAAAAAAAAAAAAAACTTATCCTAAAAAGCTGACTGAGTAAGCGATTTTAGGATAATTTTTTTTTAATTATCAATTTTTAATTTTTTTTAAAAAAATTAATCCTAAAAACGCTGACTGAGTCAGCGTTTTTAGTGTAAATTTTTTTAAAAAAAAAAATTAAAAATTACGATTTTTTTTTATAAAAAAAGTCAACATGTAAAACGCCGTCTCAGACAGCGTTGTACACTTTGAATTTTTTTTTTTTAAAAATCCAGGTTATAAAACGCTGTCCGAGACAACATTTTATCCCTGAAGCTTAGTTTGGTAAATAGTTTTGCCACGCATCCATTTTGCAAAATACTTTGCAAATAGGGCTTAGTTTGGGAAAACGTCCAAGCGCCAGTCCATGAATTCGCGACAACCAGGTATAGAAGTAAAGCCAACCACTTTATCCACTAAAAATTCCACCCGGTTAATATCCCCTAGTAAAACCAAGTTTGAATTTGAACACAAAATATCAAAAAGGGCAGACCAAATTTGAGGCCGATCAACGACATGGGGCGCCCCATACACAAACACCACATATTTTATTACAGAGCCCACAAGTATTTTACAGAAGGTGAAATTTGAAGTAATCAAAATAGAAACTATCTAAAAAGGGGAAAACCACAACAAAAACAAACCACCACTCAAACCAACTGCATCTGTAACACAAAATCCTGAAAAAGGAACACCAAACAACTTTTGTGCAGCAATATCTACAGATACTATAGTTTCCATAAAAAACATAACATCTAAACCACAGGAGCAGACTAAAGATCTAATATACGGAACTTTAGGGGAGTTCTCCAGACCAAGACCCCTACAGTTCCATGATCCAAACCTCATCTCACAACGGGTGGCTTAGTAGGGTGAGCCACCGACCCCTCAGCTTAGTCATCAGAGGTAACAGAAGAAATACGAGAGAATTTTGCAATAGCATGACCTGTTTGCTCTTTCAAAGGAAAACAATAAAACGAGTATGACAACATACTAGCTCTCAATTCATCATACAGATTCATGTCCAAAACATGCAGAAATTCACTCTCCATTTTTGCCTTTTCCTTCTTCCATACAACATGCTAGTCAAATAGAAATTAGAGACACTTCCAATCTTGAGGGAATGAGAAAAAAGGGGTCGTGAGTTTGGCTTTAGAGACAGTTCTCTTAAAAGGAGGTTTTGGTTGCTTGAATGGATTTGATCTTTTCGAGGAGAGGGGCACATTAGAGGATCTAATATCAAGGATTCGAGGGTGAGAATTTATTCTCGGTTGGCGTGTTAGAATCGTTTTTTGTTTTTTGTTTTTTTTTGTTTTAAAAAGAAATTAGAATTTTTTTTTTCTACTTTTCTATTGCTAGTTTTCAAAATTATCATGATTTTAATAAGTTTGACTAATTTTTGCTTTATTCAAAATTATTGAATGACATACCATAGAGATACCAAACAAACTACAACTTTTTTTTTTTTTTAATTTTTAATTTTTTTTATTTATTTTTTACCATCTAAATAAAATCTGATTTTTATTTAACCACCTAAAATAAATTATAATATTTCCTGAAAAATAAAATTTTAAAAAAGCATGCTAATGTAGTCTTTTATGCACACGATGCGTACTTGTTTTTAGAATGTATGTAAGTAAATATTAATAAATTAATATTTAATGTTGTAGAATGTCAATCTGCCAACACATTGTTGTGAAGCACAATGTGTGTTATTTATTTATTTATTTATTTTGCATTCTTTATTTGTTTTTTTTTTCACATCCGTTTTAACGCAAGCCAAAGCCAACGTACGTTTATTAATTATAACTGAAACCATTCACATTTTGGCGTTTTATACCGCTGATAGAATTTATAAGAAACAATCTTTAGGTAAACCTTTTTTTTTTTTTTTTGGCGTTTTAGTTTACCGTCGCGTTTTAGTTTACAAGAAACAATAAAAAAGCATATCCTTGATAGAAATTAGCATATCATCATAGGAGGTTGGTATCAACTCATTACGGAACGAAGGCAACAGTTAAATGTGAAGCAACGAAAGACTCAAGAATAATTGCTCTGAGGTGTAGAATTCAATTATTTAATCATGGGAAAAACTATCCTAGCAATAACTTGTTGCGAGATGAAGCCCTAAACAATGTCTAGTATGTATAATTGTACACCAGATTCTCTTTCCCGTAATAATATAAACACAAGTTAACAAGCTGTAAAAGATTAGGGGAAAAAAACATACAATAAAAGCTAGGTCTGATGAAATTCTTAAGCTTAAAACACACCAACATCAGTCTCCTGTAGTGTCAGGCTTCAAACATCCACTGAAGTGATGCAGTGTCCGTGTTCCACCAAGAGATAGTCTCGACCTTTGCCTACTTTGTTATTGTATAGTTTCATTAGAAAAAACATATCGATCTTCTCTAATATCTTCCTTGCTTGCTCCAAACAAGGGCTCCACTGTTCTACTCATGGTAATAGGCTTATGATATGATCAATACCTTTAATATGCATTTAGTGAATGTTTTCTTATGAATAAATTTTACAGAGATCTCAGATTCTCGGGCCTAATAAAGATTGGATTGTTGAATTTAGCACTGCTCTATCAACGTCGTCTTGCTAAAGGTGTTGGCCAAGCAATTAGAGTGTTTAAATCTTTTATCACCCTGTGGAACTTAGTAGAATCATGTAAGATAAGACAGTAAGAGTGGCTTTACCAGGATTTTTTTTTTTAAAGGACTTGATTATTATTTTTATTAAAACGCATTGTGTACCCGTGCTAATACAAAGGATACATAATTCGTGAAAGGAAAACTACGTACAAATTACTTGTATTAAATAATGGAGTCTCCTTATTTAAAGAAAAAATAAAAAATAATGGAGTCCCTTGAAAAAAAATTAAAAAAATTGGGAAGTTAATGGGATAGAATGATGGATAGTTATTTTTTTTTCCTTAAAAATAAAAATAAAATACGTAGAATATGAGTGGGGTTTAGGATTGTGGTGAATTGTTGACTCTAGATTTATTCTATAGATTTGAGGCCTTGCCCCTCCAAATTTTTTTTTTTTTTTAAAAAATAAAAATAAAAATAAAAATAAATAAACATACCGTTTATATCACAATTCTCCATTTGAATGCTCTCAGAACATCCAAAAAAAATGCCCTCATTACATTGGTAAGTGCTTCATTTGTGGACAGTACTTGAGTACTTCCACTAGTTTATACAATCTCACAACTCACCTCTCAAAGCTCCAATGATAGGGGCTCGGGGTGGTTTCATGGATGCATTCTTACCTAAGACCCAAAATTACACGATGTTAACGGAGGGAAATTGATGTTGAATTATGTAGGATCAAAATTTGGCTGCTGAACCCCCAAGAATACAAAAATCGGGGAAATAATGCTGTACAATGATTGGAATTTTGAAGGAAGAAATATGCATGGATCACTGCTTCATTTTGCATTGAAGATACGACAGCTTTCTGAAGCACTAGTATCACCATTATAAGGAAGGGTCAGTCTTGGTGCAATAATCCAGGCTTCACAGACCCAAGTTTAGTTGGCAACATCACCGGCCATCTCAAGTAAAATTCGGTAGATTACGATGACTATCAGCAAATTCACGTACCAAACGTTTCAGTATCCTTCCACCTTTACCTTGCATATGGCCATGCCCATAATCTGTCTTTATTCCATTGCATGTTTTACTTTCTAGATAATCAGAGGCTGCAGCTGCTAGGGCCTTCAGCCAATTTGGGACTAAAGTATCCGCTTCACCTTGCTTCAAGTACTCAACAGGCATCCCATGTACCTGGTGACTAAAAGCGGTTACAAAGACATTTGCATCCAATATGTATCAAGAAATAATCCAATAAAAAAATGTGTTCTAGTTCTACTAGATGAGCAGCAATATCAATCTGCATTCTTTATAAAATATGTCAGAATTTTTCTTACTGGAACATTATATCTCTACTTTATGGCTCAACTTGAAAATCCGGGTAGCCAATTGACCCACTTTATCTGAAATATTTTCATGTAAAAAATATTTCAATTACTAGAAATGGTACAAATGAATTATTTAGCCCCCAATTTTACTGGTGATCTAAATAAAATAAAGTTTTTGTTTTCAGCTGTCCGTTAATTCCATGTCACTTAATCTCCATGTCGTACGTAAGAGATTAAAACATTTTCTATAATCTTGACTAGTTTCAAGATACAAGAAATTCTAATATAAGTTCTATATGGAAAATCAATACGATAATCCAAATTTTCCTGGACACAAACCATTCCCACCTTTTAAAAAATAATGAATAATCCAATAGTCAGTCCGTACATTCTCAAATTGATCCTTAACCTTTAGAACACCAGTACAGCAGGTAAAATGTGCAGTGTCCTCTTTTCAAATTGACCAACCAGCTTTTGGAAAAAAAATTAAAAGCAAAAAATATATTATCCTATCTCCTCCTACCCAGCTCCCTATCTTATCCCATCCTTTCCACATCTCCTCACTGATTTCGAATCCCCCAAAGTAATGATGACATAACTGATTACTTTTTATAGTAACAATTTGATACAATTCCAAAGTATGCTTCAATTGTAAAATATTAGAGTGGAAATTTATATGGGGTCATCCAAAATTTGACGAGTTGTTCAATTTGGTAAATATGAGGTCTAGCCGTCTATTTTCCTTCATTGAAGTTGTTTTAGTTGTATGAAGCAACATTCGTGTGACATGACATTATATTGTGAATATTTATGAATGTAGGTACATGAGGGTAGGATAGCGAAGTAAGTATAGGGACCTTAAGAGTATGGATATGTTGTCATGTGCATTTTGGATGATGACACTTGGTCATTTGGACTCCAGAATTTCAGAAGGAAATTGAAATCAAACTTTGGGTTTGGTTTATTAGAGTAAATTGTGAGAGAAGAAGATTGAGATGGTTCAGTGGGTGGCAACAACTTAGCAGATATCAGGTGACAGTGCTAGAAATTGACCGGCAGTAAGCTTGTTTATTGGTGGATGAGGGTAGGCTTGTGGTAGAGGATAGAGATCAAAAGAGGGGGAGGGATGACGAATTGACGAGAATGATAGAACGAGAGGGTGTTCTTGGTTTGTGGACTTGAGGTTGCATTGACGGGGTGTTGGTGGTGCCCGACTGAGGCATACATCAGTGGCATTGTGAGGGTATGATTAACTAAGATAGGGATGGGCAGTATTTGAGGCGTTTAGCAATAGCTTTTGAGCAGCTTTTAGGTGCTTTTAGTAGTTTGACATCAGTGGTTTGATCATGCCAAATCACTACAATTAAAATTTGAGTGTTTTGGCAATGTAGTGGTGAGGGTAACTTTTATCAAAAGCCAAATTATTAGCTTTCGAAAATTAAAGGTAGCTGTTAGTATTTTTTTTCTACATCTTTTGGAAAAAAAATATTTATCTTTCGCTAGTTGACAGCTACTTTACCAAAAATTCGTACTTAATTATCTATCTTTAATTCTTCATATCTAATAGCATGTTGACAATTTACAATTACTCACACAACTAACAACTAATACCACAACTAACATCCACCTCTCCAACTAGATTTTTCCAAAAAAGGCCTTGTTATGGTGGTCGTGGAAGGAGGTGGAATGGCTTAATGAGGTGGAAGAGTACAAAGAAGAAAAAAAAAATTACCTGTTTATTACATTTAAGGTTACCAATTACGGAAGGTAACCTAAAATTCGATTATTTACCATTAATCAAAAAGGTGAAATTGTTTAGAAGATATTGGACTATAATATAACTCATTGTTTTTAGTAACCCACACAAAAAAAGTTACCAAGATATTCTTTATCCATCTCATGTCTTGTGCTTTATTCTGTTAAGTTCTGTTCGTAATCCCACATTCCTCCAAAACTTATTTCTACACCCTGCTCCACCACAGTCTGCAACCCCACATTCCTCCAAAACTTATTTCTATCTCTACCACATAAATCACCACCACAAAGCGACAAATTGTCGCCGCTACCTCCAGTCCTCCACTACAGCTTCCACTTTTCACAGCAGTAGAAGTAGCAAGGGGTGGTGGTGGTTGTTCATGATGGTGGTTGTTCTTGTGGGTATGACAATCTCACTCTATCTTTTCTCCTCTCTTCCTCAAGTGGTTGAGGTGCAGTTAAGAGATTATTTTTGTTTTCAGGGGAGAAATGCAAAAGATGTATATTGCAGTGATGGTGATAAGGAGTTCAGGGGGATTAGATGTTATATTTGGTGGCTTATAGACCAATTTTAGTGGTAGGGGTTGGGTTATGGTGGCAGGTGAGTGGTGCTCATGATGGTAGTGGTGGTTGGGGTCAGGTTATGGTGGCTAAGCTGGTGGCATGGGAGGAGCTTGGCTAGGCTGGAGAGGAAGAGAGAGGTAGGGATATATAATAAGAGATGCAATAAAAAAAATTAACTGGTTCAATATTGGTCACAACTCACCAGAGATTAATTTGGGAAGGTGTCCCCTATAGTTTAGATAATAGTATAAAAACCTATAATTGGGATTAATATGGTAAGAGTGGTTATAGTTTGGATTATTGTTTTTCATTCTAAATAAACCTCTCATAGGGTAAGGCTAAAACATCCTCAATGGAATAATATAGGTAAGACTGCTACTAAGACTCCTCACCTCATTTAACATAAAATCCTCATTACAGTCATAAGAAATTAAGAAGCATCTGGGTAATGGTACGAGAGGCCAGTTTAATGTTAATGTTTATTTAATTTGGATAACAAAAAGGAAAAAAATAAATTAAAAATAAAGAGCGCTCTGTATGCAGCCCAAGCAAGATAATGTGAGAGCATAACGGGAAAAGTTACCGCTGAATGAAGCCATCCATGCAGGGTTTCCCAACAAAGAACTGATGACAAAGATGTTCTCTCGCTTAAACAACAAACTGCAGCTAATTGTTGTAAAATTGTTGCAGATTTGTGAACCTGTACCAAAAATGGAACGCATTACTAACCTTTGATTATGAAGCAATAAGTTGTAAAACGAAATATATGAAACGAAATTTACATGTTAATCTTGACTTTTTCATCTTAAACACTTTATTTTTCTTTATTTCCTTTCAGGGAGTCATTATGGCATGGGAGAGGAATTATCTGAGATATGATACTCTTAGTTTCCAGACAATTTAACATGATCTACAAAATCAGGCTAATTCCCTTGGATGAATATGCTAGTCTATTATCAGGAGAACAAAACTCATCCTCCTAAAAAACTACTATATTACTTCTAAAGCATTTTCTATTACTTTAAAAGATGCATAAACAACCAAAATATACCCAGTTGCAAAATTATGAACCTAGCACCTAATTTTTTTTTAATAAAACCAACTTTTATGTTCCTAAACAACCACACCCCAGCAATTCATACCTTAAAACTACATCAAAGGTCAACTCACAAAATACCCAAGGTGGCATGATTTACCAATATTATATCAATCAGTCTCTTACCCTTGACATTGCAGAGGTCCCAAGCAAAGCGTACAACACATTTGAGACAATTCCTTCACCACTATTGCATATAACTTGAATGGCCACACCACTGAAAGCTTCTTCAGACATATTTGTCATAGATTCTAGCAATGAGGTCAAAGCAGCCTCCAATAAGCCTGTCATACCATGGAAAAGGGTAAATAATAGAACAAATTAAAAAATATATATAAAAGCAAATGCAATGAAAATAAAATAAAGATGAGCTCAGTAAGGGTGCCAAAGATAAAATATACACTATAACGAATAATTACTTTAGGGAAATAATTCCTATTTCAATAAATTCTTTTGCACAATAGATTCAAAAGATTCAATAATAAGTAGGCTCACAAAGTACATGCAGGTCAGTCTAGGCTATGGGCCATTATGGCATAAACTGGAAGTATAAGTATATAACATAATTGTAGAGCTGTAAAAATTGACCTCACCCAGGAACGACCCAACCAAACCCGAAGTGCCCCAAACTAGAATTCATTCCGCATGGACAAAATGATTTAACATGGCTAAAATCCAATTACTAGATCCAATCAGAATGCGCTACACGACTATGTAATAGCCTAAACTCCATAAAATTTTTAATTTGAATTACACAGCCTCTACAGAACAGAGGTGATAAAAAAAAGTAGCAATAACACAAACTTTTTATATGCAGTAACACAATAGTAGTAACAGAATCTTGGGCAAAGTTACAAATTTAACTCACATGACATGTATGACATAGCAGCAAGAGCAGCACCACGATGCATGGCTGTGCAACATATTGCTGCTTTTTGTAGGGATGCTTCTAGTAAGGAACCAGATGCTGCCAATACCTTCTGCAGAATATATAAAATCTAATAACATTAACATAATTGTCTAGATTATTTTTGTTAGAAAAAACAAATAATAAGAAATTCAAGAGAGAGAGAGAGAGAGAGAAGACTGTACCTTAGGAGATACACGAACAAAACTAGATGTGAAACTAACAAAGGCCTCCACCAGATCGGGCTCCTGATCACATATGTAAGACGAATTAAGTGCAGTGACTGATGCTGCATTGGTGAATCTCTCAAATGTGCAGATGAATAGAGATCCATATTCCTCCCTATGACCAAATTCTTCAACAATGATGGAAGCTGGAAGATATAATACAGAACTTCAAGATAGAGGAACCAAGGGGCAAGAACATATTTAACTTGAAATTGAAGCACAGAATTTTAATAGCTATCATCATCGGCAAAAGGTCCCTTTCAGATGAAGAAAGCTTCAATTGTGTCTAAAAAAAAGGGGGAGGAAACACCAGCAGCCTCCTAAAGCTAAGTAGACGATGTACAGCACTTGTATCTCTATGTACAGCAGAAGCACATTACTACATGTCCATGTTCACTTTGATGGCCAGTGTGGCTACAAAGCACAAAAAAGTTGAGTATGACTTCCTACAGGTTCATGATGAACAGGATAAAGAATTTCATTGGGTGAAGTAGTAAGATTTGTGTTGCCTCAAGCATGTTGAAGGGCTTGGCATTATGACATCTAAAGTAGAATAAAGTTTTTAGGAGGAAGCAGCTTTGGAGGGTTGTGATTTAAAGTGAAGCATTGAGAATGAACATCATGAAGCACAAATACAGTGCATATACTGATATACCTCTGTAGTGAGGCAAGATCTCTTCTTCTCATAATGTAGGCATAAGAAAATCCAATTGAGGGGCCTTTGTTTTGGCCTGACATTTGGCATGGGGATCAATCTCTAAAAGCTCGATTATCAAATTTTACCTACCTTAAGGAGGCTACTAATTCATAAATTTTAGAGCAGAGTAGTAATCAGAAGCTCTGCGAGATGTTTCTTTTGGAGACTTTTAATGATGGAGATGTCTTCCTGTTGAAAAGGGTTAATTTACAGGGGGATGCAAGATGGTATGGCGAAAAAAAAAGAATAACTCCCTATTCTATTATGACCTTTTAAAATGTCCCTGATACAAAATATCCCATTCTTCTTTGCTATTGATATTTGGATGACACAAGTTCCTCCTACAACCCACCCCCCCACCCCCCCTAAAAAATAACATTTTTTTCCCCAAAGAAAAGATCTGAGCATATGATAATCTTAAAAGAAGGAATTTTTGTAAGTGTTTCTGTCTTAATGATTATGAGTCGGTTAATCATGTTTTAATCTTCTGCAATTGAGTTCTTTCTCTTTGGCTCATATCTTTAGCTCTGTTTGGGATGAGTTGAGTCCAGCCTTGTTTTGTGAAGGATGTCTTGTAGCTTGGAAAAGAAGGATGACGAAAGACTGGCTCGGTTTCAGAACAAGGTACATTAGCAGTTTAACGGTGCATGTGGAGATAAAGAAACCAGTAGCCTTGCCAAGGCTTCAAGTTCAGTTTATTAGGGCTTTTGTACAGCTGCAGTCATATACTGGAATCTTAGTGACTTTTGACATGTCTGGATATTATGGATAAAATAGCTCTGTGATTGCCGGAAGGCATGCAGATTTAATCCTTATCACTCCTTTTGTATATGATGACACCCCTTGGTTAGACATTAAGCATCAGAAACAGAAGTAGCAACTGAACAAAGCTCAAGTTCACCATCATCCACTGCTGAAATTATTTATCATAGTCCATCATGATTACAGTCATCACATATGGAAATGAGGTAGCCCATAAGTGTTTCATAAAAACTATGAAGGGTGTTTATAAATATAACCCAGTAACCCCAAGCTTGCAATAATTTTATACTAAACAAGGGGACCATGATTACTTTTTGATGGCAATGTGGGTTATGCTTTGTTGTTTTTTAATAGCAACAGTCTTGTATAGAGTACTATGTTCTAAAATAATTTTAAGAATCATACTATTCACATTCCTGCTTGCCGAGCAATTAATGCTGAGCTCTTTTGTTATTCAAATTCATCATCAACCACCAGTATCCATGATACTTGAAACTCAAACAATTACATGGACATTGATACTTCACAAGTTCACCATAGGGAAAAAAAAATGCATTTCATGAAGTGCGTACTCAACTCCATTTTACATATTTCCCATGTTTGGCACTTGCAAACAAGTCTGTAAAACACAATGATGCTCAAACAGGAACAGCTAAACTCCATTACCAATTTCCCATGTCTTAGGTTGACGAAAGATAAAGGACAGATTACAAGTGTGTACCCACTTATGGTTTGTAAATAAGAGTAGATATTATTTGGGTGATTTAAAAGTTGAAAGTACAAACAACCTGCATTACACACATCAAAATTTAATTTTTCAAACTGGATTATGACACATAGTTTTAAATAAACTTTAATCAAACTATCAAGTCAAACCACTAAAAGAATTAGTCAAAACAAAATGGAAGTTTGACCTACTCACATAACTCTCTTTTACTGTAATACAATGAACCAATTAGATGCAGCACATGTTACACTGTTGTAGACCGCACACGGATACTTCCCAATTCTAAACAAGCCATACACAAACAAACATATTTAATATTGAATACCTGTTCTGATATAACATTCATGATTCTGGAAAGAGATGAAGTTTGTAGATAAGCAGTCTAAAACTGTGGGCAACAGCGCTGTGAAATGTTCGCCTGGCAAAAGAAACAAAGAGCGACTTTAGACAAAAGGTGTGTGTCACTTTTAAATAAAATAGCTGCCCTTTTCCCCACTATGTGGCTGGGGAAACATTGGAAGTTCCTCAATAAGACAATTACCTGATGAATGAATAGCTTGGGAAAGTGCTCGGCAAGCAGCTGCTGACAAGCTGCCATTTTCCATGTATTCTGATTTAAATAGTTTCTCAATCATTGGCCAAAATATGCTTAACATTACAAGAAGTGGATCATCTGCAGTAGAGCCAGCAGAAAGTGGTGCAGCCAGATGACTAAGCAGTGTTCCTATCCTGTTTGAATAGCACATATTAGAGGAATGCGGCATTGCAGAAAGTAACAAGGTAAATTTGCACAAGGCCTTTTTAAAACAAACCAGAGTAAGAAGGCTGGAGAGATAACATTAATATTAATAATAAAAAATGATGAGTTTGATGATGATAGAAAACTCTGCGATTAAGCCAAGTGAGAATGTTCATGTCATGTCACAAGGAAGGTACGTGACATATAGGTACCACATAGAATCATTCAAAGTTTCCATTGCAAGTTATTAACCACTTCATCTCTGAATATGTGTAGTAAACTTTAAGGTTTCCTTATTCTTCACTCTACCACTCAAAAGTCTTCATTCCATAGTCTGTGTATCTAACCATTAACTTTAAATTTCAAATAATCAATGTTTAATGAAGAAAGTTATAAATCAAGCTTTTTATTATATGTGGAAAAGCTTTTTATAAGAATAATTTTATTTTTTTCGAACATGAGAGATGATACAAAGTTGGGGGACTAGAATCCATAAGGCAAGAGAAAAAGGATTTGAATCTTGCAGTATATCAAAAAAGGACACGTAAGGGAGCCCCACATGAGAATGAGCCCAAAGGAAAGCCAAATAAACACTCACTCCCATAAAGTAACTGCAGAAGATTCCAAACCTCAGAAATCCCAGCATTTCAATCCAAATACAAAATTAACCACCAACATTATACCTCCACTCCCCTATCATGAGAGTTACAAGGAAATAGATTATAGGATTAAAGTTAGTCCCACAAATGAAAATTCCAAGAAAAGTTACCACCATCACAACAATAATCTTCATTTTAACTTCAATAATTCAAAACTAAAGATGACTCATTAATTGATCTTGCAACTCTTCCTTCTCACCCAAAAGAATAGGAAAATAAGGACAATGATGTGCAATCAACAAACAATAAAGAGAGGAGCAAAACCATACTAAATGGTTGCAGTGTTGCACCCCTGCCTTAGAATTATCCTAAAACACAATGCACTCTCGATGCACAAACATATAGAAGAATTTTATGAATCAATAAACTATGTATTACATGAAATATTTTAAAACTAAGCATAAACCATTTATACTAAAAGACAAAAGGTATGTTTGTTACTACCTTGATTTTTTTTTTCTTTACATTTTAACAATAATGTTTCTTATTGCCCATCTTTGACGATTAGTAATTTTATTGCCTAAAAGTAAAGTTATAAAAAGTTGATATTTTGAAATTATACATTGAGACAAATCCAATGCATTCCTTCTCACCCAAGAGAATAGAAAAAAAAGGATAATGATGTGCAATCAACAAACAATAAAGAGAGGAGCAAAACCATACTAAATGGTTGCAGTGTTGCACCCCTGCCTAAGAATTATCCTAAAACACAATGCACTCTCTATGCACAAACATATAGAAGAATTTTATGAATCAATCAACTATGTATTACATGAAATATTTTAAAACTAAGCATAAACCATTTATACTAAAAGACAAAAGGCATGTTTGTTACTACCTTGATTTTTTTTTTTTTCCTTTTCATTTTAACAATAATGTTTCTTATTGCCCATCTTTGACGATTAGTAATTTTATTGCCTAAAAGTAAAAGTTATAAAAAGTTAATATTTTGAAATTATACATTGAGACAAATCCAATGCATATCACAAAATAACATTTATTTTGATACGTTAATAGGAAAATATGGTCAAAGTACGACATGTCAATAATACAGAGTCTAAAGAACGGTAAATAAAAATAAGGAAGGAGTAGGAAGCACATTTCACTCCGTATAACAATAAATAGGATGCACATTAAATTTCACCTATTTATACCCCGAAACTACTCAACACAATAATGAGATTTATATCTGACTAACCATGTAACCAGTGATTAATATCTTAGATAATAACAGCAATAAGAACACCTATGGTCATTCAGTATTCTATCGACAGGCCATGTTTGCCAGTAGTGTCTATTTAGAGTTTTGACCATGTCAAAATTCTAATTGATGAGAAATAACAGTGTTTAGTACTGTATTGTTTGACGTAGCTTCTAGCAGTATAGAAAGTGTTTGACAAACAATCTAAACTTTAATGTTCATAGTCTGGGGTAGCAATTCCAAAATCCTTCCAAATTCTACCCAAATTATAAATCAATTTTCTTCTTCCAAGAACATGCTGCAGGCTTCTGCAAAGTTCTCTCTCTTTCAAGGTTCTTGGCATAAAACGGAAAATTCTGTCTTTTAGAAAATAGATTAGGTAAAGTTACTAATGGGATTGATCTGTGGTTCCTCCGTGTCTCACATCTTCTCTAATTTGCTGCTTTGAAGATTCAATATGAAAAGAAGGTTTTAGCCCCTGTGAATTTGCTCCTTTTAATCGTTTATAATGTTAGATTCCCATACTATCCTTTTATTCATCTTTTCTTGGTTCTTGTGGAAATAGAAATTGTCAATAATATTAACAAACAGCTAAATAATATGCAAGTCATATTTGTCTCTTTTTTTAATTCCAAACGCTATTTCTACAAAAAAAAAAAAAAAAACTAATACCTTCAATGGCTACTTGGACAGCTAGCCACTAACAGCTACTAGTTGACAGAAAACCAATACCCCAACAGTTAATAACTACTCAAAAAACTAAAAGCTGACAGCTACATCTAGCTTTCCCGAACAAACACAGATATCTATCCTCGTATGATTTACCCATGAAGTCACATAAATCCTAATGAATCCATCTTTAAAGGAACTTGTTAAATGCTTCAAATCTTATCTATCCTACTCATCAGGTAACATGAAATACTTAATAAAATCCTACTTAGATTACTTCTTACTCAGCCTTACAGATCTCTCAGACATAGGCGCATAGCCTTTCCATTAGTTTCAATTAATTAGGATTTTCATTTCAAATGGATCATGACACTATAACTGAAAAAATAATTTTGCCTTGCTGGTGTCAAGACACGAGCAAAGGTGTGTGCATCATGCACATGAGGCACACTTTTACATAGTTGCATGTTATGTTATCTTCTAAGGATGGTTGAAACATATAGGACTGGGGACAAAGAAGAATATTAAGTTGAATATGTGCCTCCTGTATGCCTTGGGTGAGCAACATTGTCCTCAACGTGTGGAGGGTTGCTTGAGGTAATGAGGCTTGCTCCAAGCACCAAGGCACACTTTCAATCTATAATTTGGAGCATTGGACAAGGTAGCATACATTGAGATCTTCAGACTTATGTTGTAAGGATTCATAATAGAATTTCACTTGTGTGATTCTTGTCATTGAAGCACTGGGTCAAAAGCAATACTGTGAGCCTACTTTCTTCCCTCAAATCCATTCAAATAGGAAAAGTCCAATAAACAGGAACCACTCATCCTTTTACAAACTTACTCATACCCCCCTCCCCCCTAGTCCAAACCCCCCCCCCCCCCCCCCAAAAAAAAAAAAAAAAAAAAAGGTGGATTTCAAAATCATCCCAACAAAAAGGAGGGAAAAAGGGAAATAACCTGTGATGATTTATATATAAGATAGATGGAAAGAGCAAGTTTCAGCTCACACTCTTCAATACTAATACAAAACCTCAATGGCCCAGAAACCCTATAACTAGTTATGTTCCAAACTTTAAAATATTTCCATTCAACATGGCACTTTAATCCTAAATGGCAAGGACAAACCTGTGCAATCCCCTGGAGGCAGAATTCAAGATTTGTGTATAAGCAGCTGGGTTCTGCCTCAATCCATGCTTCTCATCATTAACCTGAAAATTTTTCCCCACTCAGTTTTTGCATACATATAAATGATAGTAATTAAGAATGAAAACATAATATGCTGTCACGTAGGCATTGTGGGCCCCACTAATGGATTCCATCCATGAATCGGTTAAGTGGTGGTAAAAGCCAATTTTTTAAAATTTTGGTGGTGTTAAAATAAAACTTTTATTTTTTGTAGTGTTAATATCCAATTTCATGTTTTTTTTGTGGTGTTAAAAATAAAAATTTCCTTAAAATAATGCATTGACGACCATGAAAGGAGAAGTGTTGCAAATAAAAAACACATAAGTATTAAATTATTTCTCTTTCCCCAAACACCAAGGTAATATCATTTTTTACCTATCTTAACTAAAAGGTTCAAAGGGAATACATATATGCTTATTAGCTCAATTTTTTTAATCCACGGTATTAACATGTGACCTACTATATAAACTGCAAGAGTAATAGTCCAAGAACCCTATGATTAAATTTTTTAATGTTACTACTTATTTTACAGGCCAATAATAAAAAGTAATCATTTGTAGTACGGGGTTGTTTTTTGTAAAACAATGTCTTTAGGAAAATGCATTAAGGTTGTTCCATTTTAAGGTTTTTTATCTTAAGGTTATTCAGTGGAATTTTAAGACTTATATTGACATTGTATAAAGAGGTAGAATATCATACAGAGACAATGCAAGACTCAACTCATTATAAACTACTTTGCAACTCATTATAGATAGATGAGGAATATGATGCTTACAAGTTTCCCAATGACATCATAGCAAGAAGAAAGTAATCTAGTTAACACGTTGTTCTTCAGCTCATTACTAGGAAGAAAGCCAACAACAAGAGCAATAGCACCAACAACTTCTTCCTCATCTTCTAGTGGTAAATGCTGCTTTTCCAGACCCTGATGCAATCACATTTTGGAAAATTGTGAACAAAAACTGACACAATGTAACAGCAATAAAAACAGCAATTTTGTACATATACGGTGGATTAGAAAACTCAAAAAAATATAGTGCACCTCAAAAAAAGAATGTAACATAATTATATAAGCAAGGTTTCCAGCAATATGTCCATAACTTTGCAACCAGCAGGAATGCAAGATGAATAATGTCATTTTCTAGCAGCAGATTCTGCTCAAGAAAACCACCAAACTAATTTTTCGCTTTATTACCCCCTGGTTCCTACTACGTCAGGATATTTCTATGAATTTGACTCTAATTATTGATTCATATCCTACTATTAAATGGATCTGAATTGTTGCAATTCAACCAACTGAAAATTTTAAGAATAAAAGATAATGTTGATACATTGAAGTTAATCTAGACTTTTTCAGATGAAAGGGGGATTTAACATCTTGTGGGGCTGATAATTTTATACAACAAAGTTTTCGATGGTGGAGATGTAGAAGGTGGCGATGAAGAATCTGGATGATCTCTTTGGTTTTGTAGTAGTAAGTTTTCGATGGTGTAGTAGTAAGTTTCCAGAGATGAGAAAGGTCTTGTGGTGAGTAAGAAGGTAGCAACGAAGGTGGGGGGTAGTGGTGTCTACAGTGGCAATGGAGTAGATGAAGGCGGGGTGAGGTTGAGGTGGCTGACTGGTTTTTAGTAGATGAAGGGCCAGGGAGTGGGGTAGGTAGGAGTGGGTATTGTGGTCTTTTGTCAATGTATCTCACAACTCCTTAATGTGTGCCAAAAAGAAACGTGTCACATATATTGGAATGGAGGAAGTATATGAATAACTAAAGTCAAATTCTAGTGATTTTTTTTTTTTTGAAAGACAAATTCTAGTGATTTAATAGAGAACAAAGTATTTTTCCAAAAATTAATACTTTGTATGTAGTTGTTGACAACTTTATCTAATAATTATATAAACACATCACATAATAAAAAATATATCATACTAATAAATATTGCAACACCATTTCATCTGCACACACACACACACACACACACACAAAAATAAAAATAAATAAATTAAATAAATAAATAAATAAAATTAGTAAGCAATACAAGCAACCTTGAAAAGCATGGTAACTCACCTCTCCAATCCAGATTAATATCTCCAAATTGGAAGGCTCAAACATTATTGCAGATGCATCTTCACATATTTTACGCAAGGCAGATGCACATGCACTAGCAGAGAGAGGCTGTGAAATCCCAGCTGCAAGAAACAATCTGAAAAACGAGCACAAGTGCCAAAAAGATCAAAAACTTCATACATTCATAGTTATATATGCTTCTTCAAACAGAATCACACAACCATATACCCTATCAACATAAAATAGAAAAGTTTTTGCATTTACTTTAATACAAAAAAATAAATTAAAAAAAAAGAATAAAAAGTATGCCTCTCCAATGTACTAGGATTCACAATTCTAATTGGTGACACAAGCTTAGAAGCACACACTATGTGTGTGCAATTAAAGAGCATATTTAATTTGTATAATTTATATCATATTTGATTCAAATGATATAATTTGTTGGTTCTCTTAATATTTTGTTTTACAATAGATAGAGCCCATTATTTGCATGAAATTAAAGTGAATGTCGAAGGAAGTTTTACCTAGAAGCTTTTGAGATGGTATTAGCATATGAATGCAGCCATGCATCGAAGAGGCTTACTGAAAGGAAATTCATGGTTTGTTATAGTTTTGTGTGACTGTTAGAATTGTGGGAAATGGCAATAGTGGTTTTGTGTTAGTAGGCTTGAGGAAAAAAATTTGTGAGAAAGGATATCTACTAAAAGGGGTTAAGAGATTAAACAGTATAAATATGGAACACTGGGCTTTTTTTTTCTCAAGCTAGGTGACATGAATTGGAGTGAGGGAACTAATTTTTAGTATCATTCCCCTCTATTCATTTAATACACGTATATTTTTTTTGGGAAGGTATGAAGTGTTTATACTATTATTTTAATTAAATTTTTCCAGTAGTTAACTAGTTAGCTCCTTATGTGAAGTCATATTTATTTCTTTTCCCTACTTCCATTGTATTTTCAGGTAATTATGATATGACTCTTATCATAAGTGGTTAAGTTTGATTTTCCTTATTTTCACGGCCTTTTATTTTTGGAAGTGATTTGCTAGGAATTTTAATAATCATGTCTTTAGTGATAATGAATGGGGCTATTATACAGAAATGAAATTTTTAATGCCACGGGGTATCGGCATTATATATGTATAACATAGATCTCCACAGCAATAAACATCAAACACACTGCAGAAGAGTAATGGAAAAGAGCTCACAGCAGGGGTCTAGCATTTGTTTGAAGAGTGGATATCCACTTTGAATAGGATCCAATAACATCAGCAAGTGATCTGTACACCTATAACAGAAAATCACGAGTTAAGAAAATTATAATTATAAAAGCAGACAGCCTCAGGACACATCGTATCCCTTAAAAATTAAAAATTAAAGAGAGAGAGGATATTTGTACGCACAATACACATGAATCCTTTAGGTTCATTAGATGTCCCGTTGGATAGAATTGTCACCAAGTGCATAATAACGGAGAAATCGAACTTTACACTCTCCTGTATGACCACTTCAGCAACCTAGAAGAAGAAAAAAAGTAATTTTTATCACTTTGGAAAAAGTCAGGTATGATAGTCAACATACAAGGATGCCTGAAAATGTAATGGAGCCAGCTCATGAGCATGAGAAACCGGAGGCTCAACCTAGAAAAATATTTTTCAATTATATACTTAAGTAATTTCCAAGACATTAATGAGATTAATCAAAGCAATGTATGCTGTCATTGGCCATCACGTTTTGGATAAATAATTTTGGTTCAATAAGACTCAAGCTTATCATTCCAATACAATTATCTATTCATCTAGCTTAATTAATGCGTTAAGAAGGGAAATTTAGGCAAGGAAACCTGAATTAATTGACTCAGCTTAAGTATAATATATAGACGATACCCCCTTGGTGCCTATTTAATATGAAGTACATATTTTACTAATTCAAAATTAAAATACCTTCATAGATTCATCTGTCACAATAGAAAAATTCTCCAAAAAAAATTCCAACTTGTATTCTAGCAAAACACTCTACCGCCACCCATCAAAACTTCCTGAGATTTCAAAATTCAAAAAGGGGGAATAAGTTCAAGACATAGTGATCTGGGAACAACATGATATCTGGGGTTCAAAATTTTGATTCTTTAGACGAATGGGCATCCACCTTAGAACAGTCTGTAATCCGTTTTATTATTGAGGTTAAACCTCTATAGCAGCTGTGTATTCCTCAAACAAGATGAGCGAAACAGTGGTTATATAGGGAAAGTGGTGATGGAAGATGAAGATAGGAGACAACATACATGAAGAGAAACAGAGTGACAAGGATGGGTAGTAAAGCAATTAATAAATCCTTTCTACCCTCGCACTTAAAAGAGGGGAAAAAGAAAGAAAGGGCAAAGCCAACTTAAACTCACCTCAGGCTTTATTCAATAAGCAACTGTGTTGGTTATATGAGATTGGGATCCCAGTCCTACACAGAAACCTGTACTTCTGTCATACAGAATGCAAGCCAAGTTTTCCAAGCCTACTTTGACATTCAATGTAGTGTGCTTTTGCTTTTCATTAGCAAAAATGGTACTTTAGGGTGGATGAAAGTTTAGTGAGCAAACATATGCCAAATTATTATTTTGAAATAATCAGCATAATAAAGAGCTATTTCAGACTTTTTGGCTTTCTATATCATGCGACTTGATAAAGCAAAAATATCATAAAACAAAGAACTTTTTACTTTTTTGCCTTCCTATCTTCAAGCTGACTTCTATGGGCTAAAAATAGCACTTGGGACACTGCTTAACAAATTTTTCTTGAATGGAAAATGCCAAAATGACTTTGTGAGTGGAAATACATATTAGTACATACTCCCTTTCTCCCCTTTAATTTGCTCCATTGGGGTTAGATAACTTTTTTTCTTTTGGTTGAATAAAGTTGATAAGAGACAGAAATGGTGAGACCAAATAAAGTGAATGGGAGAGTAAAGTGGAGGTCCCTAATGACCATAACATCATATTCAATATGGGCAATCTTTAAGGACAACCTAAAAAGGAAAATGAGAAGCAATCGCCAATTTCCATAACCAATTGCAATAGCAATCTATAAACTAGCATAATAAATTCTCTCCTCCGCACATTAATTCCCTTCCAAGTTCTCACACATGTCTTTTCTCGCTGCCATATCCTGAAATCTAACTACCTTCTTTTCCAATCAATTTATCAAAATTTCTCTTCAAAAAATTATGTAAAAATGATTTTGAGTGGGTTATGATGCTTGCTGCTAAGATTCATTGATGAAACAGATGTGAAAAGAAGCAGAACTTATGAATTACACATGTAACCATTGATGGTGGTAAATAATACAAGTCGAGAGCAACCATTAATGGTGGTAAATAATTCAAGTCGAGAATAACAAATAGATGGGAGATGAAAGGTAGATATTTGATAAAAAGATTGACGAGTGACTAAATCATGCAACACAGGAGAGGTGAGGGTTAATGACACGAGTTCATTGTAACACTCAGATTTGATAATATATGATTTAGAATTATTCTCATATAAATAATTTGTTGACTCATCTCAATTAAGTGCTGGATATCAGCATGGTATCTGTCTTCTCTCAATTAAGCACTGGATATCAGCATGCTACCTATCTCCTCACAATTAAGCGTTGGATGCTAGCATAAGCCGAAATAGGGCACAGTGTCCCTTTTAATTGCTTTTTTTTTTTGGAGGCTTTATTAAGCTAATGTATGACACATACTGAATTTTTCCTTTGTTGTTCTGCAAGACTAGTAAATTATAATTTTTTATTACATGTAATTGAAATTTTTTTTACTTTAATTTATTGGCTGAATATTTGGTCTGTTTTATTTCAACTTTCCAGTACGGTTCTTGAATTTTATTCTAGTTACCACAATTAAGCTAATTTGTTACTAATTCTAGTTCTAGAATATCTTGGTTTGTTTTGCTTCAACTTTCCTTTATGGTTCTTGATAAATATTCTGGTTTCCGTAACACCATTAAAGCAATATAAGGAGTAAAAAGAGAAAGGTAAGAACCACAAAGAACATAATTGAAACACATGCAAGCATTGTCAATATAATATTTGCTCACCGCATTAAGTGCAAACATTTTGGCTTCTATCTCCCTCCATGGTATGGGCATGTTTCCAGACATCCAACCACCGAGGAAAACCTATAATGACATTGGAAAAAAAAATAAAAAAAATATAAAATATAACATATAAAATAAAAGATATGTATATTATACATATAGGTGAAACCTGTAATAGGCATGAAATTGGTAAGAGTGAATGAGTATGGCACTATGGCATCAAAGCCGTCAATGATGGTTTCACTTAGTCAGTAATTAAATGAACCAAATGTATCTACGACTTCCGCTCAAAATATAAAATGCAACACTGTGATATCAGTATAAATCTTTTTATTCTATGTTTCACAATTTGGGAATGATGCAATTGCTGGGTGTTTGGACCCCTACGGGCCCACATTCATTAAATACGGAAATTACCAAACTACCCTTATTTAAACCCTAAATCAGGAATATTCCAGAAACGTGCACAACACGCACCCCGAGAAATCCTAACACGGCCCAACAATGCCCAATACAGCCCTGGATGGCCGGAAACCCTAATCCTAACCCTGATCCTCTCCTATACCAGTAATTAAGTTTCTCCACTTTCTCTCTCTAAACACCGTTGGCTAACCGTCGGAGGAGCTTCTCAGGAACACCCCCCAAGGCAGTTGACTTAGGCTCCCCCACACCACAGATCCCGAAATTCTATTGCAGAAACAATTGGCACCGCCTGTGGGGACACGTTAAACAAAAAGTCATGGTAACCACTTAATGAACCGATCCTTCTCAAAACGTAGGTGGGCAGAATCACACCCAAGATCAATCGCACCCACCCTGTTACGGAATAACGAGTAATCCAACCGTGAAGATCAAGGTGACAACATGGAGGTTGAACAACCCATTGATAAAGGAGATTAGCAACCTGTGACCAAACAAGATCTGGAAAAGCTGACCGAAACAGTCAACACAACTCTCCAAGACACCCTTAGATTGTTGACCGAAGCTATGAAAAACAACCAGGCGGGGCCCTCTTACCGGCCGCCACAAGATCAAGGACGCCATGCGTCCCGGAACAATCAAAGGGCACAACCCCAGGATGTCCCCCGGACGAAGTGGAGGACAAAGCCGTAGGGCACAACCCATCGGTGTGGCTAGGTCCGTCCATTGTAGATTTGGAAACCGTCGTCGATCTCCTCATGATCGGCATGTCATATCACTTGTCTGCATAGAGCCCACTCAGCACTCTACAAGTTGACGCCAGAGGGACGGTGAATCAGCCAACCATATAGGTGACTCATTGATTAGCCGTGTAATTAACCCTAATCCTAACCTTAATCAAGTCAGTGAATCCTCTCCTATAAATATGAATCAGCACAGATTAGCCGTGTAATTAATTTTCTCCAATCTCTCTCTCTCTACAAACTTTCTCTCCCTAAACACTATTGACTGGCTTGAACGAGGCAGTTGACTTTCATTGTTTTGCAGGACTCGGTTGAGGAGGCTCCCCCGTCTATTACAGGGATGTTTTTCCTATTTGCAATTGAAAATGGTCGATTCCATAGTTCAATTTCACGGACTCTTCAAACAGTAGGTGTAATTTGAAATTTTGGAATCCCAAATCGAAGTATTTCCCAAACACAACATATAAAATTGAATTTCCATATTACAATTCCCGGAATTGAAATTAACGAATTCAGATGAAATTAAGATTACCAAACACTACCTTAGGAAATTCCCATGAATTTGATTGTGGATTTAATTTCCATAAATTAGATTTTCATGGGAGTTTCTAGTTCCTATGTTAATCAAACGACTGCTAAGAGGACAACGTATACTCCTTTGAACAAGCAAGCCAATCGTATTAGGCATCAAAAAGAAATTTTATTAAAAAGCGCTACCAGGTACCACAAACAAACCATATAAAAGTACAGTGCCTCCATCCATTTGCCTAATTACAAAGACGCAGTCATGACTTACAGCTGAAGCACCCAAACCATATCTGCACACATCAAAAGCACATTCTGATAGAACACATAAAACCAATTTTATAAAAATGAGCCTGAAATTTTTTTATATGCATCCTTGCACATCAGCTTTGGCTAGAAACTTGTGCCTTGAAGCGCTTGCACTTTGTAAAATTTACAAGCCATATGACAACTATAATCTAAGGTAGGGCTACAATTTCCCTGTGAATATACAGGCAAAATAGACCTTATTTATTCTTCAATAGGATACACTTCTTTAACTTTCAGCTAACTGGGGAAAAGACTCCTTTTATGTTTATACATAGTTGCATAACAGTAAAGGCGCAAATGAAGAGCCAAGATAATTTCAAGTACCTTTTGTATGTACGTAGCAGGTCCTAAAAAGTGACAAATTTCCATCAGAAGTTCAGCCAAGTTCATTCTGAAATTTGCAAGACCATCAGGCAACTCACTGCTTCCACCATCTCCATCATAAGCAGATTCATCAATCTGTGGATAACAAAAAGGCACTTTCGATTGGAGTCATTGGACAATTCCAAATCAGCATATACTAGAAGGGGTGTTCATGACCTAAGTGTGCAAAAATATACTATGTCAAGCACTACCATTAAGATCATCCAACCAAAGGCAGTAGAAAAAGTGTCAATAGATTTATTGAATAGACTAGAAAACCCAGCATGTGTAATAAGGTACATGCAAATTATTATAATCAATCCAACCTGTAAAAAGCTAAAAGTGAACTGCAACACAGGTCACTAGCCTCAATACAGCATAACAGAAGTGATTAGCATGCTGAAAATGAGGTTCATAAGGCCAGAAAGTAACTAAATTTGTAGTAAGCCCAGCAAAAGAGTATCAAGTAAACCTGAGAAAAAACATTTCCCAAAGTTCCCTTCTTTTATGTCATCCGGACTAAATAGGGATACATGAAACGATGAAAATAAGCTGAGAACATGTAAAAGTAAGAAAAATAAAATAAAACCTGATTACGCAGCAGCAGTGCATCAAGTAAGGCTGAGAACACAGGGAAAAACATTTTCTCTATATGTTCCCTTCTTTTTCTCTCATCCGCATTGATAGCAAGTATATAACTGGCAAGGCTACCCCTGAAATGTATTGAAGGAAAATGACTAGTTTTTTAGACACAAACAAAACTGACCCACCCCCCCCCCCCTCTCCCCCTCCAAATAAAATAAATAAGAAACACTAAAAAGAAAGGAAAAAAAAAAAAAAAAAAAAAAAAAAAGCTATACCAGAACTGCAATGTTGAATCTGCAATGTCCCAATCTTCACTAGGAAAAGCCACACAGCTGCAATATATAACGATATTAGTAGTTCTATGTAGAAACATAAACTTCTACATTATTGAGCAAAAGGGTTTCTTACACAGTCCTCATACAGTCACACCACAAACTAATGGCAGCTACAGCAATCAATCAAAGCCTAATCCCATAAGTGGGGTCAGCTACATCAATCAATAAGTCACACCTCCATATGGTTTTTATTGATTTAGAGAATGCCTATAACAAGGTGCCAAGATAGGTACTTTGGTGGGTAATGTTGAAAAAAGGTATCCTGCAAAGGTACATGAACCTGGTTAAGGATATGTATTGGATGTGTCAACAAATGTGAGGACATGTGTTGAATTGACAAAAGATTTTCCTATTACACTTGGATTGCATCAAGGGTCTGCATTAAGCCCTTTTCTTTTTGCAACGGTTCTAGATGAAGTAACCATGCCTATTCAAGATGAGGTCCCATGGTGTATGTTGTTTGTGAATGATATCGTTTTGGTGGATGAAACTAAAGATGGGGTTAATGCCAAATTGGAGCAATGCAGGCAAAGGTTGGAATCTAGTGGGTTTAAGCTAAGTCTAAATAAGACTGAATATTTGGTATGCCGCTTCGGTACACAGAGGGGGACAAGTGATGATGAGGTTGGACGGAAAGGATTTGACCATGAGTGAGTGTTTTAAATATCTTGGGTCAATCATCCAAAAGAATGGTGACATTGGTCAAGATGTGGCCCACAAGATTAAGTCGAAGTAGCTTAAATGGAGAGCGGCCACGGGAGTGTTATGTGACCAAAACATTCCTTTACAGTTGAAGGGAAAATTCTATAGGACTGCCATAAAACCAGTGTTGCTTTATGGTACGGAATGTTGGGCTTTTAAGAAGGAGCACATTAAAAAGATGAAGGTTATAAAAATGCACATGTTAAGATGGATGTGCGGGAACACTCTAAGAGATAGAATCAGAAATAAGGTTATTGGCACGTAAGTGGGTGTTGCTGCAAACAAACTAAGGGAAAATCGTTTGTGTTGGTTCGTGCATGTGAGACGGAGACCCAGGGTGCACCAGTACGAAGAGTGGAAGAATGGGATCATGGAGACCTCAAACACGGTAAAGGGAGACCGAAAATGACTTGGTTAGAAGGAGTTAGGTTGGATATGAAGCAAATGGGTTTGCATGAGAATAAGGTATTTAATCGTAAGGGATGGAATAGAAAGATTTTTGTGGATGACAATACGGAATAATCACTTTTGGTTCATATAGCCGACCCTACTTATGGGATTAAGGCTCTGATTGATTGATTAAAAATATTCAAGTGACTAGGTTACAATGTCTTACTAATTTAAAAATAATTCCTTTGCATATAATTAAGCTTATTCTACAAAGAAGTGAAATAAGAACCCGTATAAAAGCTTATTCTACAACAAATTGAAATAAGCACCCTTATAGAAGCTTATTAAGCCTCCAACAATCTTTCAATTCCAACAGACACTATATACACGAAATAGAAAAAAAGTAAGCTCCCTTTCTTCATGTAATTTTACATAACAAGCATCTTATCGTCTCTTATTGTTCAGCAATTATCCTTTGAGCTACAGCTTGTTCCATACATTGAATGCATGCTAAGAAGGGAAAAAAGGGAAAATAAAAAAGAAGCTTAAGAGGTTTTGTGTGCATAGACATTGGTGGTACAGAACCTACTTGTAGTAAAATGACATTCCATGCTCTAGTTCATTCCAACCCAGGGAATTAAATCTCGATTGCATGACCACATGTCCACATCGCAATTGCATTATAAAGGTTTTTGAGCTTACTACAATCATGAAAGGGCACAGAAACTACCCCCCATGTTTCTCTAGGAAGAAGATCAGCATTAAATTTGCAAAGCAACTGCACCTAAATTAAAACCGTGTTCCTAATTTGTTGAATCCTTCCAATTTTTCAGTATTGTTAGCATTTATGCATTCACCATCTCAAACTTCATAATAACCTAGTTGACTTTTAGAAAAAAAAAGGGTTTAATGGACAAAATCCATCAGGAATAGTTATTAGTCAAGCAGTGCATTAAATGAATAAGAAAATGAATGCTTAGGATAATTAATTTGAAACATACAGAAATGAAAAGGACAATGAATGACACACAAACAAAGTATAATTGTTAATAACCTTATCTTCCAACACCTTAATAACCATAAAAGCTCTATTTCATTTGAAGGCATAGTTAGTCAATTTTGCTAATTGAGGATTTACTTGTACAGCATTCAAAAACAGATAGGAAAGATAAGATGAGAGTGAACTTAAAGAAGAAAGCAAGTGATGTCATTGATGGAACAATTATGCAACTACAAAAGGTAAATTGCAAGATGCAAATCACCTCCTTTGATTCTAAGAGAAACAAGTTAATAAATGATACCAGACCTTAACAGTGCATCTGCTAAGATCAGAGACTCTGAGCTTGCATCTACGATCAAAGAGGGTGCCTAACAGAAAACAAGGTGAGGAGAAAAAAAATTTGTATCAGTGGTGATTTTCTACAATATTACCTTAATAAAAAAGACAAAAAATTAGAATTAGACAAGTCTAGACTTATAACTAAGATATTGTCAACTTACAGCCTGACCAATTTCTGACATCAAGCATGCAATTCCACTAATAATTTTTTCATCTCCGTTGCCTAGTGCTGGACGAAGTAGAGCATCCTTTAAAAACTGAACTCTACACAATAAAACCTGAGGTAGATCCTACAAAGCCAAGTAAGAATAAATTAATTAAGATAACCAAGAATTACTGGACATCAAAGGATTGGTGAGTATAGTTAGTAGCTGCGGTACAAAAGCCTCTATCAACTTGATAAAAGAAACAGATACGATTCTGGAGGACCAAAGGACCTTTTAACAAAAAAGAGGTAACAAAAGTAAGCTCAGAAAAGCGAGAAAACCAAGATAGCATGTAAGACAGCCAAAAAGGCTTCTTAGAACTCCCCCAGCAGTTAATAGCATTAAGAAAAACAAGCCATAAAGTTAATCAATCAAAACCAGATCCACAGCAGTACAGCATATGAATCTGAATTCTATCATTATCTTTTCAGTCATAACTCATAAGCATTTAAAACTGTCAAAGATACTATGCAAAATTGCTCAAATTCCATATCTATACTGTGCTATTAAGGCTACAGCCCAGGTAGCAACTAGCAAGGGATCAGAAAAAGGGTTAGAAGACCAACATATCACAAATAACAGGAAACGGGATACATATTCGCACATATAGAATATAGGAAGTACATTAATAAATCCTGTTGCTTATTTTCTTAAAGCAGGCTTTAAACAGTATTGGCTTATTGCAAATTATACAAGTCACACGTTGACTATCAAAAAATAAAATTCATCGGCTGATTGAGTGAATGTTTTAAATATCTTGGGTTAATCATCGAGAAATATGGTGACATTGATCAAGACGTGGCCCACGGGATTAAGTCAGAGTGGCTTAAGTGGAGAGCGGCCACGGGAGTGTTATGTGACCGAAGCATTCCCTTATAGTTGAAAGGAAAATTCTACATGACTGCCATAAGACCGGTGTTGCTCTATGGTACAAAATGTTGGGCTTCTAAGGAGCATATTAAAAAGATGGAGATTACATAAATGCGCATGTTAAGATGGATGTGCGGGAACACTCTAAGAGATTGAATCAGAAGTGAGGTTATTCGCAAGAAAGTGGGGTGGCAAGCATTGCAGACAAACTAAGAGAAAATCGTCTGCGTTGGTTTGGACATGTGAGACAAAGACCCGATGGTGCACCCGGTACGAAGAGTGGAAGTGTGGGACCATGGAGGGGTTAAACGAGAGAGAGGGAGACCGAAAATAACTTGGTTGGAAGGAGTTAGGAAGGACGTGAAGTATATGGATTTGCATGAGGATGAGGCATTAGATCGTAAGGGATGGAGGAGAAAGATTTTTGTCGATGACTACACGGAATAATCACTTTTGGTTCATGTAGCCGACCCACTTATGGGATTAAGGCTTTGATTGATTGGTTGGTTGATAGGTCCATACATGACCACAAACAATTATATTATGTTAATAACTAATATTGCTGGCACATAGCCCATTAGGTGAAAGAAACAATCCTTATGGTCCACTTCACATATCTAGTCCAATATTAGAAAAGCTACTAATAATCTTACACTCTAACAACCAACCTATTCGCTACAGCGTGTATCGTTACTGTGGACCACATAGATATAAGTACAGAATATAGAATAGAACCAGACAAAGAATTGTGAGGGAAAAATTCACCCAAGAGAGGAAGGCTGAATCTCGTAAACAAGAACTACAAAAAAATGACAAGATAAGATAAAATTTTAGCAACTTTGAGTACATACTCTGGAAGTACACTTGACAATAGAGATGACAGCCAAATAGAGGAGGTTGGTGACTAGTTTCCCGGCAAGTCGACCGCAACAAGGTGCATGGCCACTGACACTAGAGAATCAAAAAAGGAGAGGCTTCGAGAGAATTAGGTCGGATCAGGTCTAGGATTTTGATTTTTTTTTTTACGTTTTCTAGTGATTAAAAAAAAGGGAGAGTATGGATTTCACTTCCATTTTGAACCCTTAAAAAAATACAAAAATGTTTCGATTGCTAGAACAGCACTACGTTAGGATTACTCGAATTTGGATACCCATATCCGACACTAGTACCTTTGTGCAAGTGTCCAACTCGGTTATATTGTAAAAAAAAATACCAAGATATCGGTCTAATGAAGTATCCAATTGTCATACCCATGTCTGAGAGGTGAAATGAAGAGTCCAAGTAACATAGGTTAGGATCTTTGAATGGTGACTTTCTACAAGTCTAGGTACTCCATACCTAGCAGTCTTAATCAAAAATATATTAGGGGTATTTTATTAACACTGAAGCTCTAGTTAAAATCCTTTGTGACAGAAGAACAAGATGAAACTGACATGATATAAACCAGAGTAGCATTGTCAAAACTAGAGAGAGTCGGCGGCAGCAGCCACATGCGTGAACAGTTGGATATGAGCCCCTAGTTCTCTTGACATGAAAAAGTTTTTTAAAGCTGGTAGGAAAAAAAATTCAGGCAGGAAGGGAGTTTATTACAAAAACTGGGTACTACTCTCTCACAGAGTTCATCAAAAGAAGCAACAACAGCCATCAGAGAAGGGAGAGCCAAAAACATCATATATGCCTGTCAATGTTAGTTCTAGTCCATTCTAAGTTTTTTCCCAAATGTAAGAGAAAACAGAAAATTCAGAAGAAATTTTACAAGAAAACGCATGTTCTATTTTCCAGGGGGAAAATTCATGGGCAAATGATGTGGTATTGCATAGATCATAGGGTAACCTTATTTGAAACATATTAACTCGAAAGATGTCTATGGTACTTTTTTCAAAGAAATTCTAACCCCAATGATGGGTTTAAAAGATATGGTAAGCTGATTTCCACTGCTGGAAAAAGAAAACAAATCATATAAGAACCATAATTCCCTATTAAATTTAGAATATTATTAAGTACCCCAGTTTCTCATAATAGAGGTTTTAATATATTAAATTTAATATGGATAACTAATTTTATCAGAAGGTTCCTAAAATAAAGCAAAGAGTTGCCCTTGTATAAGAAACTGCAATGCTAGCATACAGTAATCACATTAAAAAACACATTAGTTACCTCTAAGTACAAACTTCAGGTTGGATTATCCTGTATATTATGCAATACCATCATGTTATCTCATGAATTTTTCTTTTCTTGGAGATCAATATTTTTCATTAAATGAAATTCTTCTGGATACAGATTCATAATCAAAAGTTATATCCACCGCTTAGTAGCTTACAATGACTTAAGATCAAAATTTAAAAATTTGCAACAAGAGTTTCAACTTACGAAACCAAGCCTCTATAAGTCAACCTGACACAATGGTGTATGTACTACGGGATTTTCAACCAAAACTTTCTTGTTATTTTAATAAGAATTTTCAACAAGAAAAAAAGTCTTAAAACCAATAAGTTCTATCCAATTCGAATATAAAAAATCAAGTTAGATTTTGACACAATTTTCAGCAGTCTAATACAAAAAAAAAAAAAAAAAAAAAAAAAAAAAAAAAAGAGTGCAATACCTCATGGCGACTCACAAGCTCAACAAGAACTTCAACAGCCAGATCAAAGGAAGATGAAACCTAAGAAAATGAAAAAAATGACATTAGTAGAAACCTCTGCGTTAAGTCAATTTTTCCCCGACCTCTTTTTTTAAGGGACAGGTGAAATAAATAAGCACATAATCTAATAGAGCCAAACATTTTTTTTTTTTTTTTTTTGAGGGATAATAGCACCAAACATAGAACAGTTAAGGAGCTGACTAACAAACCTGTAAAGAATTGAACACGAAATTCAGAAGAGGATGAGAAGACAATGAGCCACAAGGAATTTCAGAGAAGCATCCAACTCGGACCTGAAAGTGAAAACACAAAGCTTGATTTGACTAACTGCAATGAATAAGCAAAGCTACATGGAAGTTATACCCTATCCAATGTAATAATAACCAGTCATAACTCATCCGAAAATGGCCATGAAATCCCAGCTTAATAGCAATGGTCAGATTAACTACATATAATAGAAAATGGATAGAGCAGCTTGGTCCGGTCACCAAAGTTTCATTGGTGGAATATTCACAACATTGATCTTACCCAGCTGAGTAAGCACCGCAATATCTTCCTATTCCTTTCATGCATCTGGTTGGTATCTTCGAACCTTATCTCTGATTGCTGCCTCAGGAACTCAAGGACCATTGAAGTATGTGATAAAAGCTGCATTTCATCGATTCATAAGAGGCAAGACAGAAAGTACACAAAAGCAAATGCTATGCCAGTTCAGACTGAGGAAACACCTCTCTAGTATACTGAGACCTCTGTGCAAAATTTATGCTACTATCAGTACTTTGATCCTCAACTACTTCTTCCGGCAAAACAGTCAGCATTTCCAAAACAGCAACGTTGCCGTTTTCCTGTGTTTGAAAATTTTGAAGATTGTAGAAAAGTTGTTCAATTGGTTGCCTATACTCTGCTGCATGGAGCACAAGTGCAGAGAGTGCCAGACATATCTGAGTTAAAAGCTGCCAAGAAGAATAGGGCTGACAGTGAATTATATTGCCAAGAAAAGACAAAAAAAAAACATATTTACAGCCAATATAAGAGATATCCAAGAGCAAATTTACATGAAACTTTCAAAAATTGTTGATAAAACTTAATAATTTCCTTGAGAACCAAGACAGACAAACAAATTCAAACTAGAGAGATGAAAAACCTGTGGAGGTCCTGAACTAAATCTTCTAGCAGCCACCAAAAGAGCATTCAACAACGCATCCTTTGCTCCCGATTGTAAGTAGTAACCCTCGTTGTGTATCTGCCAAAGAAAATTATTATTCAAATTAGTGTAATCAAACAGCAGAAACTTTCGGATCCACCACAAATTCCGGCCTTCAAGTTTTTGCTGTCTAATCAATTTTAGCAAAACTAACATTAAGGTTCTAGATTCTATAGATGTGGATTCAAATCAAACTAACATAGTCTATCCGCTTAACATATTTTGGTATATGTTGCTTTATGGATGAGACTAAAGTCAGGGTTAATTTTAAGATGGATCAATTGAGCCAAGGAAAATATGAGTACATTGAATGCCAATTAGATACCGAAAGGGAGCGTCACAAGGATTTAGCGACATAAGATGGTAAGGGAGTTAGCCATGTTTAAGTACCTTGGTAGATGTTGTAGAAGGATTGAAAGTCACCAAGAAATTATTCATATAAGTTGATGGCTCAAATGAATGAGCAACCAGAGAATACCATTAGAGTTACAGAAAAGTATTCTATATGGACGTGGGCATCTAAGAAAGACCACAGATTTAATAGAAATGTATGATGAGAATTTGAGATGGGTAAGGGAGCACCTTAAAGTATAGAAATCAAAATGAATATATTCAAGGTAGGTTGGAGTAGAAGATGTAGCAGATAAGATAAGATAGAACCGGCTACATTGGTTTTATATATATGCAACATTAACCATAAAATGTATTGGTAGCCCCATTAGCGTCTCCAATTCGAGACAAGAGATTAGTGTGTTGGGAAAGTGGAAAGCAAAGGATATAAGGATTTTAGAAGAAGTTGAAAAAGGTCAAACAAGACTTGGATAGAAGAAATTCAAAACGGTATGAAGAAACTGAGTTAGAAATAGCATATAGCCCTCATAAGAAATGAAGATAAAAAATTTAATAAATGTAGTTGACCCCATCCTTATTTGGATTAAGGCTTTGGTTTATATAGAAGTTCTAGTTCATTTAAATATTATCTTTAGCTTAATTCATTTACTATCTACGCCTAGTGTTTTGAAAAAGCACGCCTGATGTGCGCTGGCTCCATGAGTTAAAGGTCATGCGCTTTTTGCGGTCTAGGGAAAGTGAATTTGCTGAAGCGCACAACAATTTTTCCACAAATTTCAATCCTTTATAATATGAGCCTTACTTCAAGGAGGTGCACCAAAGCACACTAAGGTACACCTAAGGCACATGGAACTAAACACCTTGGTGAGCCTTGTGCTTTTTTATGCATTGTCTACGCCCATAACAAATTTAACAAAGTGATTGAGCCTCATAACACTTATAGTTGCACTCTAGTGGACATTGCTTTCTAGTGTAGCGTGAACACTATACGGAAGATACTTTGAAGTTGTGGACATTACGTAATTTCTTTCTAGTTGTTTATTTTGAGCTAAATGGATACTTAGGGTCCATACTAGAAAGAAGTTGAGCTAAATGGATACTAAGGGTCCTTACTAGAAAGAAGTAGAATGATATTACAAGGCCATGAGCTTATTTATATTATAATCGCTTTTGTATATTATCCTGAAATATTGAACCTCGTATTCCCGAACAGCTCAACAACTTCAACCTTTTTAACCTATGTTAAATCCATGGGTACTTCTGTTAGATCCATGGGTAGGGTACACTCTATCAATATACTCTAAGGACTTAATTCCAGCCACAAGGCGCCAACATCACACCTAAACTAATCTCCAATCAAAAATCTCAAAGGGGCTTGGTCCTTTTAAAAATCTCAAATTATAGTATTTTACTTCCTCCATTCAAAATTAGATGATACTTTGTTTTGGAACACTCTTTAAGGAACGGTGGCAAAGAAAAAAGAAAAAAAAAACAAAAACCACCCCACTACCCACTGCCCATATTAATATCCTTCACAAATTAAGCCCACCAGCAATAATTGCACAGCCACCGCAAAATTTACACCACCACCACTTACACAATCACCCTCCATAATTAACCAACTTAAAATTGTTGAAAACACCAAATTATGGTAATATTGTACATAAATAAGAAATGGAGGTAGTAATTTGGAATAGAGGACATAGATCATTATTACCCCTTTATAAATTACATTGATAAGTTCGTTTGAATGGTTGAGTAGCGCTTATGTTACAGGTATTTGGGATGGCTTTATAAGGAAAGTGTTGTAAGTAATCCGAGAGAAAGGGAGTATAAAAAAAGTAGAGCGCAAAGAGTCCTTTAGAGAAGATCTGTAAAAGAGCATTGCTTGCCTTTCACACTTTGCTAACACCTTCAAAGTATGTCCAAAAAGAAGCAAAGCATAGATGTATCATGTATGTAGTTTTAAACTTCTAATCCTGAATGTGAAGGTTAATACAATTTCATTACAGCCACAAACTACAAATAAAAGAAAAGCACGCCTGAAAATTTTTCCTATTACTCCTCCTAAAAGGTATTACCTCCTTTTTTTTTTTCTACTCACTTACTATTCATTGGGTCAAACTAAAAAGATTTGACCTTCTATTGGTACTTACATACAAAACGAAAATCATCAATTGATTTTGTTAGATTCGTTACAATGCTTGGTATCCAAACATCTAATTATCATAACTTACATTCGTAAGTAATTAAAAATATAATTGGTCAAACATGTGTGTTGAAGACCACGCAAAATACAAAGGAGTAGCACAAAAAAGAGCAGAGTGAGCATGAAGTGATTGCGCTTGTTAAGCATTGGTGAACAGAATCAAAAAGCACCCATGCTTTCAAAATTCATTTCCAGCAAACAATGATACAATATAAGTATTCCTTGTCTCACAGCTATTAATACAAAGCACAAATACCGGGAAGAAAGCAATATTTTATGCCACGATGTTTTTGCAAACTATAACTTATGATAAACCATTAAACCCTCTCCAAACAAAGTACAAGCCAAAGTTCTTGCACCTGCCAATTTTGCTTTTATTTTTTGTGACGGGAACCACACAATTAACACACAAATAGTCCAATTTAGAACAATAAAGAACAGTCATTCTTATATATGGCCTAAATACAACACCAAGTAAAGATAGAGTAGACACACATCTAATTTCAGTTGACGAGGAAAGCACCCAAAGCAATTCACCAAAAGAACTCAAATTCACTTCTTTTTGCATACTCCCTAAAATGGGAGCTAGCCATCCCTTTTGGAGAACACCATAATCATAACATAAGAATTCGAATTCACCAAGGTGCATGTCCTCACTCTTCCATAAACTTAACTATAATACAATTTTGAGCTAATAAATCACAATGTAAAATCTATGTAAAAATTTCTTCATTATCAAAAAAAAAAAAATATATATATATATATATATATATCATTGATAAAGTAACTAAAACAATCAAATTTCACAAAACCCATTTGACAAAAAAGCAATCAAAAGACACCCATTTCATATCTCAAAATACCCATGCAACCCAAATCAAAAAAACCAAATAAAAAGCTAAATAATCAATGGAAAAAAACAAAGAAACAAACCTTGCGTTTAAGAATCTGGGCAGCAAAGAATTCGACTTCGAAATCGGAGAAATAAGGCGGGAGGTGAGAAGAAGAAGTGAGAAGAGAAGTGGCAACCTCCCAAGCAGCATCGGATTGTTGAAATTGAATCAGCCATTGATTAGCAGCAACTCTATTACAAGATTGAGAATCGTGGTTCAATACATTAACAGCTTGTGCAACCTGGATTTGAAGTTCATCCATAAAAATAAATTAAGGGGGTGTTTGTTTTTACAATTCAATTCAAAAAATTGAAATTGAAAATGAAAGAGATTATAATCATAGGCGGAGAAGACGACGCCTGTAATTCTTAGGTGTGATCTGACGGTTAATGGGTGCTAGTAATTCTATTGGGTTATTGAGTTTATGAAGAGGAGGTGCCTTATTGGTGGTCACTGCCTCACTAATGCTATGCTCACTGAAGTGAGAAAAAAGTTTCAAAAAAAAAAAAAAAAAAAAAAGGTTGGTGTTAGAAGCAAAATCTGAAGAGACTTCAACTATAAAAATAATAAATATATAACTTGTTTGACACTTGGCGGTTTCTCTTGGTGTGGTCGGCTGTTTGTATAGGCTTTTTATGTTAGTTGTTTGACGGTTGGTTGTTAAATATGTTTGATAAAGTTGGTTGTTGGTTGTTTTATATAAAAATGACTTTTAAGGGTATTTGTATATTTTATTATCTTTGTGATATGGTTTGCAAATAATAATAATTATTATTATTAAATATTAATTATTTAAAGTAGGGATAGGTAAGTAATTTTATTTGTATAAAACCAAAAGCCAATACCAAAAAATTAGTAAGGCTAGCTTTTTATTTTTAGCCTGCTTTTTAGCTAATAAAAAAACCATTTACCAATCACTTTTTTTTGCTGTTTGACCAAGATGAAAAGCCAAAAGTCAGAAGTCAATCAAAAGTCATTTACCAAACAAGGCCATAGAAATTTGTTGTCTTGATCTTTTGGGTGAGGAAATAATATTTTCGGGTTTTTTTTTTCTTTTTTTACTATTGCAACACTTTGATTTGTTGTAGATAGTACAATTATCTTAGGTGGTTTTAAGTTGAATGTCCAAGTAATGTTAAAAATTAAATAAATAAAAAAAAAAGGTTATCGTGCAATATGATAGTATTAGAGTTGTTACAATTTATACTTTCATAACAGCATATATTTATGTATAGTGTAAGGAAAAAAAAAATGGGGATCCATATCTAGATTCACTAGGCCCAGCGGATTCGCGTCCAAAATAGATCTAAAATGGGTCTTGCACATTTTTCTTATTATTCATCATCAATCATTTATAAATCCTAATGCATCAAGAATTCAAGAAAATTGCAAAAAAGAGACAAGTTTATAAAATATATTTTTTATTCAAAAGTATTTAATTTATTTTTAAATGGAATAAAAATAATTGGTGAACAGGTTCTAATTAAGGAAATTAAAGGGAGTAAAACTCCTTACTAATGGCATGTGCGTAAATATCTATTTTCTTATTTAAAAAGGGGTATAAAAACCTCACACCGCCGACCACCACCGAGCGTGTAATCCCCCATAGTTTTAAATTTTTTATTAATGAAATTTAATTTTATTTATAATATTAATTTGCATTTTCACCAAAATTATTTTAAAATTTGGTTAAAATTTTTAAACCATTATTTGGGTTGAAAAATTATTTTATTTCAAAGGATTTTATGTACTCCTATTAAACTAAGCTTATGTCCATGAAAATAAGTCCAATTCATTTTATACATTATTTGGGCCCTATTACTGCATTATATATTATCCATTCAATTTATGAGATTCAAGTTCAACTCTTCTTCTTACCCTACAAGTTTCTACTACTTATAAATATCACATAAGTCCCCAAAATTTTCCCACACAAAAGTGAACAAGTCCAAAAATCAGATTTTCTTTTTCTTTTTCTTTTTCTCTTTTCTTTTTTCCTTTCTTTTCCTCCTTCATATGTGAACCTTGTTGCTCCCCCTGTGCACTGCCTCCCTGCTGCCCATCACCTAGAGGTGATCAACATTGACCTGACCGCTAGCCTGACTCGAAAATAGGGCGGGTTAGGGCAAACCTAAAAACACATTTTTAGTTGAACAAACCCAAACCTGCCCTGAAAAAAGCTTTAAAAATCCCGTTTTGGCCAAACAAGCCAGCCACTTTTTTGCGGGCTTGGGCACAAGATACGAATGTTAAGGCTCGGCTCGACCCAACCCAATTTTTTTATCACTAATACCATCGCTCAATAGCCCAGCCGCGACCCACCAATAGCCCAGCCGCGACCCACCATTTTGTTGTTTATTTATATTTACTTATGTAAATTGATTTGAGGTTTTAATTTTTATTGTTTAAAACTTGTTTAATTAGTATCAAAATTATATTTTAATTGTTTATAAACTATAATTTCAAATTCTTATACTTGGTATTATTTTCAAATTCGTCATAATTTATAAACTAGGGTTTAATTATTAAAAATCATGATTTTAGGGTTTTCATGAATAATTGTTTTAAGGCTTTTATATTTTTGGTGATTATAATTATTGTTTAGTTTGTTTTAACTTCATTCCGATCAGTTTGGATAAACAAATTATTCGTGTTTTGATTTGTTTTCATTATCTGATTTTCGACCATTAATATTAATCAAATTTTAATCGCAGTTAGATTCTAAACTCGTTTGATTTTTAAAAAATACTAGTGTTTTCCATGTGGAAACAACGTTTTGAGCATGCCTCAATGGAGTCACTACCATTGGTAATGAGCACCACCCTCTTGTGGCCAAATTCAACCTCTAAATATAGTTTTCGAGCATTTTTTGATTTTTAACGAAGACTTTATGTTTTAAATTTTATCATGAGTTTGATTAATTAAATAAACTACATTTAAAGTTAATTAACCGTAATTCCAAACTTGTATAATTAATACTGACTACTATTTTAATTATTTATTTTGAAAGGGATTTTTATGGTCAAGCGGGTAATTTTTTAGTGTTTTTATGACTTAAATTTTGAGTAGAAAGTATAATCTTTGAAATCTTTTTACTAGCAATTTCCATGGCTTAAATGGAGATTTTCCTTTGTAATCCCCCGTATTTTAAAATATTTTATAAATGAAATTTTATTTTATTTATAATATTTATTTGTATTTTTCCAGAATTTAATTTTCAAATTATTAATTTGGGTCAAAAATTATTTTAGGCTAAATTATTTTATGAACCTATATCCTACAATCCATTATTATAAAAACAAAGCATAACCCATTTGTTTATTTAATTGGCCCATTATTTTCATGAGGCCCAATTCGACCCTACAATTCTCTCCTACAAATACCCCATGAATCCCCAATTTTTCCCCCACACAAAAAGGTTAGTCTTATTTTCTTCCTCCTTTATTTCTTATTATTTTCATAAAGCTTATGTAATTGATTTTTGGGTTTTGGTTTTTATTGCTTGAAATTAGTTTATCTAGTATCAAAATCATGTTTTTGATGTTTTAAACTAATAATTTCAGATTATAATTGTTGTTTTAATTTTCAAATTTTTTAATTTTAAACCTAGGGTTTTAATTTAGTTAAATTGGGATTTTAGGGTTCTAATGATCAATTAATTTGGGGCTTTTGTTCCTATTGAATTTCTAATGATTAATTTAGCATAAAAAACAAATTTTCAGTTTTCCGTAATCAGCTTATGATCTCAGTTCTTAATTTTTTTTAATCACGTTCTAATCATGTTTAGATTCTAACTCGTTCGATTTTTACAAAAAAAAAATAGTGTTTTTCGTGTGTAAACAACGTTTTACTACCCTCTCGTGACCAAATTTAGCCTCTAAATATGGTTTTCGGACAGTTTTTTGATTTTTAATGAAGGTTTAATGTTTAAAATAAATTTTTAGATTATTAAAGTTTTAATCTTGGGTTTAAATTGTATTGATTTCATGTGTTTCAAGTCTCTAATTTTATTAAACAAAGGTTGTGGTTATTTTATGATTATAAAGTTTGAACTTTAAAATTTAAATGCAAGAATAAATTTTCAGACTTTTGGTTATTGTTTTTGGAGACTTTAATTACATTGAATTGAGGAATTTTTGGGTTTAAAGTCTACTAACTTTCTATATAATGTATGTAGTGATAAAGATTTCTATAATTTCAAGATTTCATGTGTAAAATAAATTTTCAGATTTTTATAAAGCTCTAAACTAGTTGTAATTTCATGAATTAGTATGTATTTTAAGGTTTTTATGTAGGAAATTTTAACAATAATATATAAGCTTTTAATTCTAGCAAAAAGAAGGTTTTAAAGTGTTGTTTAATTGAATTTTGAAGGTTTTAGAGTAAGTTAGTTTTGTTGTAAATTATAATGCTTGGGTATTAATTGAATTATTATTGTTTGGTTTAGGAGAGGACTTTGTAGAAGGCGATTTCTAGTTCCTAAAGTGGCCAATCAACTCGTTTACTCAAGGTACGTACAAGGATACGAAAACCTTAACTTTAGGAGCATGTTTAAGGACTGGGAAAACTTAGAATCATGTTAGGAAACTTGTAGATTGGATGAAATTGTTTGGTATTGAGTTTGATTGATGATTAATGTGATGATTAGTTTGATTCATGTATGAGAAATACGTATTGATTTTTCTTGTAAGTCTTATTTATGCAATAACTTGCAAGATAAGCTAAGAGGCTAAGGTACATAAATATGTGGAATGAATTATCTTATTACTTGTTCATGTTTATGAAATGGAATGGGTAAAGGGAGAAATAAAGTCTTACAAGACGAGGTCGAGGATTTGAGGTGCCTTATGCACTTAAGGTGTTTATACACCGAGGTAGTTAAAGGATTTAATACTAAATATTGTTTAATTTGTCACTAATAAATCAAGAATTGAATTGGAAATTTGAATTGTTTGAATGATTGATGTATGATTGGGTGTATTGTTTTGCATTTGAGTCATCACCAAATTTAAACTTGTAAATCACGTAAAGTGCAAGATGAATGAGCAATAAAACTCTGGATTTGTGCACATCTAGAGTATTGACAATCAGGGGTTGGGGTTCACGGGGCATTAGCCATGTACTTTTTAGAGGTCGTCTGATCTATGAGTCTCTTGTTTTCAAATACTTTTTAAAACTATAAGGAGTTAGATGAGGTCTCATACTAGCTATGGCCACGGAGTCGCGCCCGTCTTCCATTGGATGTTTATTGATGTTTGCGAAATGAGGCATGGGGTTTTTCTTTTATTGATGCTCCAAAATAGAGCATGGGGAAACAACCTTGTTTATTGCTAATTCCAATCAATGAATGAAATGAAATGAATTATTGTTAGTAATTAGTGAAGTCTTAGTAATGTTAATAGTTGAGGCATGTGTTAGAGTCAATAATTAAATTGTGTGTGATGATTGATTTTTAGTAACATGCTAGGGACTCTTTGATATATTTCGTAGCTTGTATGTACTTAGCGTTGCTGATTGCGTGTTTTTGCATGTCTTTTTCTTGGTCATGACCTTCGCCCTTCA